TGTCTGTGTGTAAATTCGTATATTTTTTAATGAAGTATATGTATATAAATCCATTGATAACTATCATAAAATCAGTGCTTTGAGTAAAATGATCTGGAAAAAAAGAGATACTTCAGAACTCGGCAAATGTGGGTTTTTTCCATCTAATCCCGAGGTACAAACAAACTTTAACAGATACAACTTCGTAAATTTATCTTTTATATGCTCAACTTGTTGGGTACTCTGTTATGAATGGTAGTTTTGAGGCTAAAGTGTTAAAAGCTTGTTTGTAACCTCGTGGAATTAAGACGGAAATATCTCGACATTTTTCAAGTTCCGGATAAAATCTGTTGCTAGATATATGTAATGTGTCTAGGTGTCTTATGTCCTTAGTAAACCTACATGTATATTGTAAAAAAATGATGTTGTCATTATAGTTAAAAGGAGATATAATAGCAGTAAATGTTTGGTTAGGATTTTGAAAATCTTCAAAAAAAAATTTCATTTTTAAAGTGGGACATTTTTGACATTGATGAAAAATTATGATTACAAGTCAATCAGTACTGCTTAGAAGTTATGTGAATGATGTAATTTGAATGTACACCTGCCTTTGTTTATGTTATAAACACTGTCTAACACAAGACTGAAAATACATGTATATAACTGCAGTGTTGTTAATATGCAAACTTCAGTTTTGAGAATTTTTGTTTCGTTTTATGTTGAAATTAGATATAAAGCATCCTTTAATATAGAAAATGATTTTGATTAATTAATTAATAAATTTTATTTATTTATTTTTGCAGTTCATTATCTTGTTTGCTTGGAACTGATTCATAAAATGATTTTGTGTGTGTTTCCCTAAAAGTTACTTCTACTATTTTGCATTAGTTACTTATTTGTATGCCCATCCATAATTGCTAGGTAGACGGCCAATCCCCTACCGTACTAAAACCCACCTTGCAAAACATGCATATATTTTATTTAAAGAGAAATCTTTTATACTAGGCTTTGTTAGAATTTAGTTGTTGCATTACATGAATTTAATTCCTTAAATATTTGGTGAAATAAATTTCCAAGGTTTTGTAAGTATACATTTAGTACAAGTCTTGTAAATAAGGACATTTAATAATTATGTGGTTGTTTTATGTAAATTTTAAGAAAATATAGAAAAATATGGTAAAATATCGAAGGTGTCAGTCATTTTATTAATTTAAGGTTATTATTTGGGTTGATTATATAGCAGAAACCTATTTTCTTGAAATGTACTACTAAAATTTTATGATGAATATATTGAGTTTGGTTTATTATGGACTGATGTTACCAACGCAATTATACAAATCAAAAGATGACCATAATTATTTTATCTGTAATAATTTCTGCGAAATTGCTTTTACCAGAAATATTTCTTCTTTAACAAAGTTTTACTTTAGATATCACTTATCTTAATAAAAACAACCAAAACTTTAACCAAAAATTCCTGTGCCTTACATGAAATTTTTTTAATACCTAACAAAGTAGTGCATTTTGAATTTTTGAAATATTTATTTTATTCTGAAAATTTATGGCTGGGTATAACCTATGTATAATATACTTTCATTTTCCATCTTACCACCTATCTGCATGGTCTGCTTATATTTGCATGTAGCCTTATTTATATATCATACTAGACTTGTATATTAATGAACGTTTCAGTGCATCACTGACTTAATTTGTCTTTAAAGCTACATGCCTACAGATGTGTAAATAAAAAATTTAAAAAAATCAATTGAGGACAAGTTTAACAAATGTTTAATTTATTAATAATTCACAGGAAATGTAAGGTTTTGCATGTTTTTATGCAAAAAATTACTAAATTTACTAATTTTAATTATTTTGTCTCCTTAGTGCAGTAATGGGCTTACTTCTTATATAATTTAATAGGAGTTAACGTGTTACTGCACTAAGGTTGTGATTTGCTATATTTGTACCTTGTAGACACAAGGCTATTAACTCCTGCAAATTTTTTTGATTAATTAAAATAGAAATTGTTTTCAAAGTGCCAAAAGACAAGAGAAAATAACTTCAGTTGCAAACTTACAATATAAAATTTGAAATATTTTTTAATTATCATTAAAAATAAGGAGGTGTGCTGGCTGAAAGTTCATTGAGTTTGTGACAGTGGTGCATTGACCCGCTCCTTATTCTTGACTTATTATACATCTCACTAATTCTATTTTCTGATTAATAATTGAGCCGCTTCATGACAAAACCAACATAATGTGTTTGCGACCAGCATGAATCCAGACCAGCCTGCGCATCCGCGTAGTCTGTTCAGGATCCATGCTGTTCGCTATGAGTTTCTCTACTTGTAATAGGGTTTGTAAGCGAACAGCATGGATCCTGATCAGACTGCGCGGATGCGCAGGCTGGTCTGGATCCATGCTGGTAGCAAACCCATTATGTTGGTTTTGTCATGACGCGGCTCAATTATTTCAATATACATAAATGAAGTTTTCACTTTAAAATTTTCATTGCCCATAATATATATTTATATTATAAACTGTATAATAACATGAAATATGTTCTGTGGAAAATTGAGATTGTACATTATGTAATTCTTGAATACATATTAAGTAATGTTTTTATGCCACCGCAGCATCTGCGATGCGGTGGCATATAGCGATTCACCTGTGTGTGCGTGTGTGTGTGTGTTTGTTTGTTTGTTTGTTTGTATGTGTGTGTGTTATATAGATTATATAATGAACTTCAAAAATCTTCTTGTGAAAAACCACTGGTCCAATTTCAACCAAACTTGGCAGGATTGATCCTTGGGTGAAGGGCTTCCAAAGTTGTTCAAAGAATTTCATTCCATGCAGAAATCTGGTTGCCATGGCAACCAAAAGGAATTATAAGAATAAATTTAAAAAATCTTCTTGTAAAGACCCAAAAGGCCTAGAGCTTAGATACTTTGCATAAAGCATTGTCTGGTAGACCTCTACCAAGATTGTTCAAATTATAGCCCTGGGGTCAAAATCGGCCCTGCCCCGGGGGTCATTGATTTTCACTATATGTACATATAGTAAAAACTTAAAATACCTTCTTGTAAAGACCCAAAAGGCCTAGAGCTTAGATATTTTGCATAAGGCATTGTCTGGCAGACCCTTACCAAGATTGTTCAAATGATAGCCCTTGGGTCAAAATCGGCCCCGCCCCGGGGGTCATTGATTTTCACTATATGTACATATAGTAAAAACTTAAAATACCTTCTTGTAAAGACCCAAAAGACCCAAAAGGCCTAGAGTTTAGATATTTTGCATAAGGCATTGTCTGGTAGACTTCTACCCAGATTGTTCAAATGATAGCCCTGGGGTCAAAATCGCCCCGGGGGTCATTGGTTTTCCCTATATGTATATAGTATAAACTTATAGTTAAAACTTTAAAAAAAATTCTAGCAATTGACAAATGCTAGAGGTTAGATATTTTGCATGAAACATTGTGTAGTAAACCTGTAGCAAGATTGTACAAATTATAGCCCTGGGGTCAAAATTGGCCCCACCCCCAGGGGTCATTGATTTTCACTATGTACATATAGTAAAAAAAAAGACTTCTTGTCTGAAGGTACAAGGCTTAGAGATTTTATATTTGGTATGTAATATCATGGGTCCTCTACTAAAGTTGTTTTAATTATGCCCCTAGTGTTAAAATTGCCCTGTCCCAGAGGCGATAGTTTTCCTTATATGTATAAAGTAAAAACTTGAAAAACTTCTTCTCTGAATTGACAAAGGCTAGAGGTTAAATATATGGCATTAGACTTTGCGAATTGAACCTCTACCAAGATTGTTCAAATTATAGCCCTTGGGTCAAAATTGGTTCCACCCCGGGGGTCATTGATTTTCATTTTGTACATATAGTAAAAAAAAAAAAAAAAATATTTTTGTCTGAAGGAACAAGGCATAGAGTTTTGATCTTTGCTATATAATATCATCTATAGGTCCTCTACCAAAGTTGTTCAAATTTTTCCCTTGGTGTCAAAATTGGCCCTGCCCGGGGGCAGTGATTCTCATTATGTACACATAGTAAAAACAGAAAATAAAACAAATGTTTTCTGAATGGGAGAAAGCTAGATCTTAGATATTTGACTTGAAATGTTGTTTGGTGGACCTGTATCAAGATTGTTTTGAATTAAACCCTTGGGTCAAAATTTTGCCTTGCCCAAGGGGAAAGTGACCTACTTTCTTATTCTTTGATGTACAGCAATGAAATTTTGACCATGTGCACAGTTTAAGTTGTAAAATTGAACTTTGATATCAGGTGATCTAGATTTTGATGATGTGACCTACTTTCTTGTCCTTTGATGTACAGCTATGAAATTTGAACCATGTGCACAGATTAAGATGTAAAGTGAACTTTGATATCAGCTGGATTTAGATTTTAACAAAGTGTCTTACTGTGTTGTCCATTGATAGAGTCATGAAATTTAGGCTGTGTGAAAATATTACCTTCACCACCAAATTCACCAGACTCAAGTGCATTGATATATTCCTACTCTGATCTTTTATTGGATTAATAATAGATTCAACCACTAATCTGATGATAAGAATTAGATAGGTCAGGGATCTATGCATTATGACAATCTTCAATTGTATAGAAACAAAAAATATCTGTTCCTACACTACTATTTAGTGTTGTATTAATGCGGTGGCATAGCATTTTTCTCAAATGCAATCTTGTTTATGGTAAAATTTAGTCTCATTTGATTAGGAGTATTTTAGTATTTTGATAATAGATTTTCAAAAAAAAATTAAAAATTGCAGAATAGTAAAATTGTACAAAAAGTATTTATTTCTATAATTTCAATTAAAACGAAAAATTAAAAGAAATAGAAAAATAATCATTATTTAAATGTAAGTTTTTATTACAAATGTTTATTCTTCAGTGAATTTCATATTTTCCCAACAAGTGACAATTGTGACATTCTTGTGATATTACCGGTATGTTATTTGTGACATATATTTTATATTGTGACATTTATTTTATATCAGGGTCTAGGCATGATGACAACTGTGACACTACCTGTGTACAACAAAACTAATATGAATGGTTCGGTAAGTATTTAATATAAATATTGAGAATTTAAAAAAAAAAGAAGATATTATGTGGACTTTTTCATAAACCTTTGCTAAGCTGTACAAATACAGAAATTTTTCATCATACATATCATCATATAAAAAAGGGAATGTATTTACATGATGAAATGGTTGTAGAATAAATTTCTTAAACAAAGGGAGATCATTCATCCAACAGCAATTATCTCCCTTAAGTATGTTTTATATTTTGAATTACCTTGTATAACTTTATAAGACATGCTTTCTTATTTTCTCATGTTTCTTATTTATCTGTTTGTTCCATAGAAAATTTGGTATTGAACACAATTGTTTTAAATTTGAACTGAAGTAGATATTTTCGTTAGATCAGTAAAAGGGGCATTTCACGTTTCTCACAGACAAGTCACATAGAAATAATATATGTAATTCTGTTTAGCATTTGTGAGTAGAAAATATTTCGATACTATTTCTTGCAGACTGCCCAGACTATACTAGGTGTAATGGGTATAGATGTAACAACAGATGCCATGTTGAAATATGCTCCTCTAAGAAAGGTATTTATGTATATATGCATGTATATTTTGATATGACCTCTTGATTTGTAGAAAACTGTAAGTGTTGAAATCTTTAACTGGCAAAATATATTTGATAGCAATTTTAAAAACTGTACAATCATATCTTATATTGTCCCCATGCTCATATGGTCATTTCCTGTACGGTCATTTCCCATGTAATCATTTTCTGTATGGGCGTTTCCCATGTGATCATTTCCTATATGCTTATTTTCAATGTGATAATTTCCCATATGCTTATTTCCCGTATGATCTTTTGTCAATAAAAATGTAACAGTGAATGTCTATGTTATTTAATGCACATGTTTGTTATAGGAAACAGAAAACAAAGTTAGATATTCAATTGCTATATATTTGTTTCCCTTGTTTTTGTCATTCTGTTTTTGTATTGTAATAAATATGTTGTGAATTGACAACATAATGAAATTGAGTGACATCAAGGTCAAACTAAAAAAATCAAGCACTAAAAAGAACATTTTTTTCAGTCAGGCAGAACTTTCAGTCAAATATTTTTTAATTAGTTAAATGTGCATACATGTAATTCTTATCATGAAATATTGAGATTTTATTGGAATGACAATAAACCTTTGATATAAAATTGTATAAAATGAGATATTTTATTTCAGTTTGGACCCAATGGATTCACGTTTGCCATAAATGCTAATGGTTACATAGTGTTCCATCCAAAACTGAAGGTTCAGAATGACTTGAAAGACCCACCGAATGTGGATTTCCTAGAAGTTGAGGTTGAAACCGACGCTACAGTGCAGGTAATTCTTATATTTTCTCTTCCAGAAATAGGAGTTAATTGTCCTTTGTTTTACAAAAAAGTATTTTGTTTTATTTTTGCTCCCAGAACTTTTACTTTCCTTCACCTTCTCTGTATTGTAAAATGAAAGGATTAATAAATCTGTTAAATGGCATTGATCAACATTTTGAAATACTGTTTTTAAAGATAAAAGTGTTAATGGTGTTTTATTCGTGTGTTTCTTGAAAAGAACTAAAATGTGATTCTTACAATAGATATTTCTTTCAAATTAAAAGACTCAGATTTTACCCATTTTAATGATTCTTAATTACGATACTTGCCTAGTTATATATAATGGTTTGTGATATTAACACTAAACCTGCTAGAAAGTGATAAGCCTTTGCCACTAGTATAGAGCCAGACAAGCCTGCGTATATGTGAAGTCTGGCCTGGCACTATTCTGTTGGCTGACTGGTATTTTTCATCTTAATATCCCTAAAATTGATAATGAACAGTTCCAAAAACGAAAGCTAGGGAAGTCCATTCAATAAATTCAGCAGATTAAAGGTTAAGCAGTTATATGATAGTTGCGATGATCACTTACCATCATCAAAATTATCAGTAGAGTGGCTATTGCCAAGTGGTTAAGGTGGCCGTCTTCAAATCACTTGCCCCACATGCTGTTGGTTCAAATCCGGTGCTAACAAGCTAGGTTACAGAAGGTTAGTGGTTTGACTCAGGCGCACCCTCATGCTTGAAAAAATGCATGAATGGGCACCTTAGATCTTCCTTTATCATTGTGGCTAGAAAGCCACTGTGTGACCTTTACAGAGTTGGTGTGACTTAAGATCCAACAAACAAAAAATATCAAGGGAAGCCAATCCATCCATGCTACAGAATTCTTGCATTATGAGAAGATTAAAATTCCCTGATTTTATAATAGACTGTCAAAGCAGTACAAGATTCTATTATACAAATTTAGTTTGTATCTGTCTTCAATCTATCAACAGTTACACTGTATATGTCTATACTGTTTTCTTCTTGATTTTCTGCTTGATTTTAGTCATTTTGATATAAAAAAACCCTTTAAATAACAATGAACTGTTCCAGATACAAAGCCAGACAAGTCCATTTTACAAATTTATAGGCTCAGGGTTAACAACAAGATAACTTGTTTATTTTTCAGCTTCGTAATGACATGATAGATCAGAAACAGGATAGAATTGAAATTGTAATGTACACCATTGCCAAGGATCAGGTCAGTACTTTAAATAGTTTCATGACTGGAAAGTCTGAAATTTTCGAATGGGATTGAATTGTGCTAACTTAAATTTCTCACATTTAAGGTTTTCACAAAAATGAATGTTCACTAAATTTATAATTTATCTACCTGTGCTTATTAAATAGAACTGAAAATAGAACTTTGTAAATTTTTAACTTTGTAAATTATCCAAAAATGTTGATTTCATGAAGTTTTGTTCCTGCAAAAATATCTCATTTTACACTACATGTCTTGTAGCAGAAATATCACATTGAATTGTATCTTGATTATTTCACATTGAATTCATTTAAATACAATTTAACTGCAGGATTTTATTTGAATGTGGAAGCTTGATTATTCATGTATATTTTATGTTATACATGTATGTACAAAGTGCCTTTGTGACTTCTTTCTTAATGCCAAGCCTGCATGGCTGACTGGTCAAAGTTGCTGGAATAAAAAGATTTGCTTCTGACTGCTGTGGGTTCGCAACCTGTTAGGGAATTTGGAGTCTTTTCATGTGAGGAATAGTTTGCATACAGAAGGCTGATTGTTCAACACAGATATATGCTTGTGTCAGAAAAAATGCAAGGAGGGGCCTCTGATGTGATGTCTTTCTCTACCAGTAAAGCTGGATAGTTGTGATGTAATATTTTACATTGTCAGTGAATCTTAAATAACCCCCTGCTCTAACCCCAAATAAGATAACTCCTAAAGCAGTCGCCTCCTTCCACAGTAAAAAGCAACAACAAAAAAGCTGCCAATCTTCATCTTTAGATATTTTGTTTAATTGAATGATGTTGTTAAATGTTGTTTACAGAGACATGTTGATATTGAGAATGGCGACAGAAAAAGGATCATCAGCTATCGTGGAATTGATCTTACTAATTTCAGGTAAAACCTTAATGTTTTGCATTTATCAGTCATTTTGGGCTAAAAAATTTCATAGTATGCATATGTGTACAGTATTAGTATCTGTAGTCTGTATAAAGGTTTACATTGTAAACAAAGTTTCAGGTGAAAATGTTGCATTTTGATCAGACATGAAAATGAGATTTGGGAAAATATTGGTTATTTCTGAATTTTTTCGGGAAAGAATTTATTGGTCAACTCTGAAGCACATATGATTGTTACTTTTCAGCGATTACACTTAAATACTACACACATGTTATAAAACACTTACCAATTCTTCAAGTAGTCTTGGGTAGTAAACACAACAAATTTTTAAAATCATTACTGACAATAGGAAATTTTCATTTGGAACACCTTGCTGATTAACCATAGTCATCTTACAGAATATATGGTTTGAAAGTTGTTCTGTAAAATGAAAGTTGATTGCTTGCATTTTAAGTGACAGATGCATTTTTTAAAAGCAACAGAAGCACTTATTGAACATTGTGGGGGAAATCAAGTACAGCCTTCATTGTCAATTTCTTCGCATCAAAACTCAAAACTGGTGTTAAATAGCCAATAAACACTGCTGAGACCAAAATTATTTCTTAGTTAAAATATAAATGAAAATTTTATTTTTGTATTTCTAGTCTCGGTGTGAATATACCAAAGTACCATGAATATTATCTGATGATTGAAACTGATATACAAACACCAGTCAATGAAAGTAAGTAAAAGCTGTGATTATTTTCTTTTTGTAGCCAAAAATATAACACCTCAAAATGCATGAAAATTTTATATATTTTAACTCTTAAAATTGGTCGGACCAAAAGTGATTAGCCTATGTCTTAAGAGTAGAGCACATGTGTGCAGTCTGCCCGGATGTACTCTATTGTTAGCTTGCATTTTGCATTTTAATTCTGAAATCCCTTAATTTTCAAATGGACTGTTCCAAATTCAAATCAAGGCAAATCCATTACACAAATACAGGAGGCTAAGCATTACAATAACAATCTTGATTACTGAAAGGTATAAATAAATAGTTATTATTATTTCAGTTAGATTAAAATTTTACAGTAATTTCATATATAAAAATGTTATTACAAAATTATATTTTTCATGATTACAGAAAATAAAAGTTTATTGAATGATACCCATACTGCATTGCTGATACCTGACTGGTAAGTGTTATTCCATAGGTTCCTAAAATAGATTATTGTATACAGAGTTATTGCTCATTAATTAGTTTTTGAGGTTACTTTGCTTTTATTATTAGTTTAGTTTATACAAACTTATTTTAGTTTGGTTGTGTTTGAAGCTATAAGCTTATTGAAACACTCTCAAATCTGTTCCTGGAACCAACCAGTACTTTGCAATGGATGCAAAATTTCTTGCTCAAAGAAACAACGGCCTGCCCCTGACAGTGTTTTTACCTATGGGGTCAGCAATCCTTAGATTACTAGTCTGACGTGTTTACCACTCGGCCACGCTGCCACTTTTATTATTGTTTTTTATAAAATTGTTTTTAATAAATTCATTAGGCACATTATGCCTCAGAAACAAATTATTTTTTCCTTCTTTAGAAACATAAGTTTTATAATGTTTAAATAATGGTTTTGGAGCATTTTAAATGCTTATCATCTGGAGATAGCATTTTATTTGAAATTAGTTGTCATTAAAATAACAAAAATTTAAACTAGTATTTCGACATCCATACAAAATCACTGTAACTGGACTTATTGCCAAAAAAGCAACAGAAGAAATAGATGGTTCGGTTTATTGGCCATCTATTTGTAGTAACATTTTGGAAACTATAACATAGCATGATATCAAAAATAAAAACCTAAAAAAATAAAAGCATTTTTGAGAAATAATGGACCTTAAAACATTCCTGCAGATACATTCTTCCAGTTGTTGTCTCCATATTAAACTCCTATGTGTGAGATGCTAATTTCATTGAATATTGGTGTAAATGTTTAATTTCAGGGAATTCTTTGAAGGTTATTTGTCTAAGAACTCGACAGGAACTGTCCTTGACCTGCAGGAAGCCCTTGAAAATCCATCTCAATACAAATGTAAGTAAGCTGTTTCCTTCTTATTGAAGATGATAGTATTTGAGCCGCGCCATGACAAAACCAACGTAATGCGTTTGCAATCAGCATGGATCCAGACCAGCCTGCGCATCCACTCTGATTAGGATCCATGCTAATCGCTTACAAACCCTATAACAAGTAGAGAAAAAGATAGCGGATGCGCAGGCTGGTCTGGATCCATGCTGGTCGCAAACGCATTATGTTGGTTTTGTCGTGACACAGCTCATTATACCCCCGCACAACAAAGTTGTAAGGGGGTATACTGGAATCAGCTTGTCCGTCCGGCCGTCCGGCCGTCGGTTTTTTCTTGTCCGCCCAATAACTTAAGATTCATTTGACCCTTAGTCTTCATATTTGGCATGGAGGTTAGTCATGATTAGTAGATGACCCCTATTGATTTTGAGGTCACTAGGTCAAAGGTCAAGGTCACAGGGGCCTTGACTTCAAAAAGCTTGTCCCGCTCAATAACTTAAGATTCCTTTGACCCTTAGTCTTCATATTTGGCATGGAGGTTAGTCATGATTAGTAGATGACCCCTATTGATTTTGAGGTCACTAGGTCAAAGGTCAAGGTCACAGGGGCCTTGACTTCAAAAAGCTTGTCCGTCCAATAACTTAAGATTCCTTTGACCCTTAGTCTTCATATTTGGCATGGAGGTTAGTCATGATTAGTAGATGACCCCTATTGATTTTGAGGTCACTAGGTCAAAGGTCAAGGTCACAGGGGCCTTGGCTTCAAAAAGCTTGTCCGCCCAATAACTTAAGATTCCTTTGACCCTTAGTCTTCATATTTGGCATGGAGGTTAGTCATGATTAGTAGATGACCCCCTATTGATTTTGAGGTCACTAGGTCAAAGGTTAAGGTCACAGGGGCCTTGACTTCAAAAAGCTTGTCCGCCCAATAACTTAAGATTCCTTTGACCCTTAGTCTTCATATTTGGCATGGAGGTTAGTCATGATTAGTAGATGACCCCTATTGATTTTGAGGTCACCAGGTCAAAGGTCAAGGTCACAGGGGCCTTGACTTCAAAAAGCTTGTCCGCCCAATAACTTAAGATTCCTTTGACCTACAGTCGTCATATTTGGCATGGAGGTTAGTCATGATTAGTAGATGACCCCTATTGATTTTGAGGTCACCAGGTCAAAGGTCAAGGTCACAGGGACTTTGACTTCAAAAACTTTGTCTGCCCAATAACTTTTAGATTCCTTTGACCCACAGTCTTCATATTTGACATGGATGTTGATCATGATTAGTAGATGACCCCTTTTGATTTTGAGGTCACTGGATCAAAGGTCAAGGTCATAGGGACTTTGACTTCAAAAAGTTTGTCCACCCATTAACTTAAGATTCCTTTGACCCACAGTCTTCATATTTGGTATGGATGTTGATCATGACTATAAGGTGACCCCTATTCATTTTGAGGTCACTGCGTCAAAGGTCAAGGTCACAGGGACCTTGACAAAAAAAAAGCTTTTCTTCTCAATTGCTAAAGAATGTCCTGTCCGCAATGTATTGATTTTGACATTTGAAGCATGTAGAATACATAACTTAGCAATGCACTGGCTTAGTAACCTCAGATTTGGCAGGGAGGTTGTCCTTGAGCTCTAAATGGCCACTGTTGATTCTGACAAAGTGGTATGCGGGGGTATTCACGCCATGATAGTGGCAGTTCTAGTTTATGTTTGGTTATATTATATAAATAACACATAGGTTTGTGAGCAACAGTAAATTATCATCCCGAGAAGAACACCGCTAACCGAGGCGTTATTTGTTTTATTTTCTATGGAAGGTATTACTGACTCGCTAGGGACTTCAGATTCTTTCATGTGAGGAAGTTATTCAGCTAGCTTATGGAATGTTAATAGGGATGATTAAGTTACAGTCTTTGCGTGAAGTAATATTCAGAGAAGCAGCTGAGGTCGTCACAACTAAAGCTGGAAAGTCACCATATGACAGTATTTGTTTGACATGTTAGAAAAAAAATTGGTCAGTTAAGAATAATGGTGTGAATGAAAAAGATTTATTTTCATTTTCGGAGACAAATTAAGTTTGATCATTTATTTTTCATTAATATTTATTACATTCATTTCTTTAAGTATTATTGATTTGTTTTATGAATTAACAGGGGACGATGAATTGATCAATCATTTATTGTTTGATCTCTCCGTAACATCAACTATAGACGGATTCTGGCCGCTTCTACACAACAATCCGGATGGAGAAGGGTGAGTCATGTGATCAAGATTGATAACATTTTATTTACTATTAAATCATAGTCGTGGACTTTGAGTCACTTACACATTTAAAAACTGTGACCTAGAAATCTGCTGAGAACAATTATATTTTGTCATGCAAGGAAGCTTTTTGATTGGTTTTAAAGATAAAAGACGTTGAGGATTCTACTTGTGTGATATAACTTTTATTGAAAAAAAAAAATGAGCTGCGCCATGACCAAACCAACATAATGGGTTGCGACCAGCATGGATCAAGATCAGCCTGCACATCCGCGCAGTCTGATCAGGATCCATGCTGTTCACTATCAGTTTCTCTACTTGTTATAGGGTTTGTAGGCGGACAGCATAGATCCTAGTCAGACTGCGCGGATGCGCAGGCTGGTCTGGATCCATGCTGGTCGCAAACGCAGTACGTTGGTTTTGTCGTGACGCGGCTCAAATGCTAAAATTGTAACTGGAGGATTTTTCTAGACTAGTGCAGCTGAATGTAGCCATTTAAATTGTAAAATACAACTTTTGAAAACAGAAGGATCTATATGGCATTGTCTATTCTTTATGCATCACACTAAGGACAATATTATATGTGTAAAACCAATGTGATATGTTAATGGTAATGCAGGTATTGTGCAGTTTGCATGATTTACACAAGCAATACTGTTTCAACATTCAAATAATCAGTTTCATGGAGAGAGCATTGGATTTGTTATTCAAGGGTCACTGGTCCAGTCATCAGGTGAAGCAAAATTTCTCGGTGACATTTGTTCTTGGACATTTGAGTCCAATGGTCATTTGTCTCTCACCGCTGATTCAGAAATCATGTGGGATTAGTAGTTGGTCACTTGCAGAGAGAAATTGGTAAATTACTGGTTAGTTATCCAGGAAAGCACGTTAGGTGGATTGATGTTCAAGACATGACCAAAAATGTGTTACGGTCTGCGTAGAAAACAAATAAAGTATTGACCTGATGTGGGATTCGTCGTCGGTCACTAGTAGAGACATTTGTAATTTCTGGTTTGTAATCCAGAAAAATCTGTTAGGTGGCGAGGTATGGCCATAAATGTGTTAAATTCTGTGTAAAAACCAGAAATAAAGCAAACAAAGTATTGAAAGTAACACTCATGATTGCTGTAAATTTCTGCTTTATACTTTATAATAGGTTGATTGGCGCCTTTATTGCGACAATGGGAGGTTTAACTAAGATATACCCTAAAAGGTAAGTAAAGATGTTCTTGTGAGGTGTATGATTGAATTGACACAAACATATCACTTTTTCATGAAGTTTTCATTCCACTAAAGATGTAATTTGGCATCGATAAGTTCAAATTTGATTTATTTTTTCCTTTCTATATTTCACTGAAGATGTTTTTTGACAATTTAATTCATTTTTTGTTTTCAGTAAATCACTGGACAAATTTTTTAGCATTGACCAAGAAATTTTTGAATTCAATTTTTTTCTCTCTCAATAATTCGCTGAAGATGTACAAGTTTTTATTTAATTTGTTTTTCTAAATATTTAAGAAGTTTAATTAAGTATTAACAAGTTTTAATTTAACCCATCTTTCATTTTCCCAATATTATACCCATACCATATAACATAATTGTGGAGGTTATACTGGAATCACTTTGTCATGTTGGTCTGTCCGTCTGTCTGTCTCTACTGCGTCTGCTCTATCAATTGTTAACCCCTTAAAGGATTTCTTTCAAACTTGGCTGTTATGCTTACCTGAACAAGATGATGTGCAGAACCTATATTGCTGCTATTCTGCTTCAAGGTCAAGGTCATTTAATTATTAATTGTCAGACAATTTTGTTCCCACTATATAAATAATCCTACTGTCCTTGAAGGATTTTCTTCTAACTTGGCTGTAATGTTTACCTGAACAAGATGATGTGCAGAATTATTCTGCTTCAAGGTCAAGGTCATATTTAATTATCAATTGTCAGACAATTTTGTGTCCACTTTATTATGGATCCTATTGACCTTGAAGGATTTTCTTCAAAGTTGGCTGTAATGTTCACCTAATTAAAAAGATGTGCAGAAATTTAACTTTCACTGTGCTGGCTGAAGGTCAAGGTCACTTTAGATATTGGACAAATTTGTGACTGCACTATAAATTACAAAGTCTTTAAAAGTCTATCTTCTTACTTAGCTCAAATGTTCACCTTGAAAACTAATGAAAAATGAACTGAAATAAAGTCCTATGTCAGAGATGATGGTGGTATTGTCACTCCTGTGACAGAACTCTTTTTCACTGTAGAAGACCTTATTTATCATTGATAAGTTTCGTATTTAATTCAATTTTATTCAACAATTCAATTAACGTGTTTTCATTTATGCAAGTTATTTTTCAATTTATTCATGTTATTTAATCAAATTTTTACATTTTTTTGTGTGAACATATATTTTACATCGTTATTATATATGAATTTTATCTGAATTTAATTTGGTGATGGGTGTTATAAATTATAATCAGTCTTTTGACATTGGTGCATGTTTGAAGTTATTATTATTGGAGAGATTTTTATTGAAAGAAATTTTTAGATGTTGTTTCCTGCTGAAAAGGAAAGTGATAAAAGCCTTTGCCACAAGCAATTTGTAGATTACTAGTCTGATATGAACACTTGGCCACGCCAACTCTAAAAATCACCATTTTTTGGGCTATGTTATATAAAGTGTGTGAGATATAGAGAAATGTGTAAGGAGTATAGTGCATCGAAGCAGGTGACATCATGCGATGAAATTATGTGTTGAATAATTCAAAGCAGTCCGAGAACTGGATTAATTTTAGATTTCAACCAATCAGATTTTGGTTAAGAGATCCTGAGTTGAATAAGCATTGTTATAAACCAATCAGAACTTTTGACTCACTTTGATGCACTATAGATAATTTTAAACCAATCAGATCACTTGATACATACGATAGTTGTAACAATTTTACCTATTTGTGTTGCAAGCTGCACATACAAGCATCTTGCTACGAGGAATTTGTGTGAGGGCCCGCGACCTCGAGATAGAAAATGTTATATTGAGTGTAGTAATGTGACGGATAGGTATGCGGTTTGTGTCGCGATGTAGTAGATCAGCTCTCTGTTCTTATTGTCTTAACTGTCATTATTCTCGTCTGCTTTCTATAGAACGTGTGTAAACGTAGATTACTGTAAAATTATTCAGTTTTCACGACCATTTTGAAGATCCTGTTATATTTTCTAAAAAAAATTTCTTATCTATTTGATTGACAGATGAAGATTTTTATAATCAGATACACCATTGAATAGACGTGAAACCATTCAGTTTTTCTTTAAATATTTATAAGTAGGTTGTTATTTTGGGGAAGAAAGTAATTTCTAAAAATAGCCACTGTTCCTCCTAGAATTGTTAATTCCTCATTTCTCTTCCTGTCGATCAGAAACTTACACCTTGTCAGTTATCTACTCTTAATATTGGCCTGAAATAATGTTTGACGATGAAAAAATTTTGGTCATCATTAGCAACTAGGATTCATTAAAGTTTTGACTTGCCAAATTTGTGTTAACTCTTATAGCACGATATATAATTACTAAGATCAATGGTTTGCAATATTTTACAATTTAGATTAGATATTTGATTATAAATTCTAATAATAGAATAACGCCATGATTTAAATAGATATAATAAGAAATTTGATTGTTATAAATTCAAATAATAGAATAATGCCATAATTTGAAAATATTTGCATGTAATGATTGGTCATGGTAAAGTCATTTTGACACATGGGTTTTAACATTTGAGCCGCGCCATGACAAAACCAACATAATGGGTTTGCAACCAGCATGGATCCAGACCAGCCTGCGCATCTGTGCAATCTGATCAGGATCCATGCTGTTCGCTATCAGTATCTCTACTTGTTATAGGGTTTGTAAGCGAACAGCATGGATCCTGATCAGACTGCGCGGATGCGCAGGCTGGTCTGGATCCATGCTGGTCGCAAACGCACTATGTTGGTTTTGTCGTGACGCGGCTCATATAAATATACCTAGTATGATGAAGCAACAAGGAACAACAACAACAAAAACCCATTTATAAAGAACAATATCTATAACAAAAGACAAAACCTATGAATGAAAATGGCTTTACAATGAGTAGTTACGAAATTTTCTACACTCGAACACAAATGTATTGTTTTTTTAATTTTGGAGCACTTCTTATTTTCAAATATATATTCAATATATTTTGACTTGTTTGGTTTTCTTTCTTTTTTTTCCTGTCTGAATACTTAATTATTCTTGTTTGAAACTAGAAAGCGTAGTAAGTGTGAATGATATAGAGTGAATGAATTTATATATAATTATTATCTTAGATGTTTATGTTTGCATATGTTTTCATATTATATAAGTAATTCAACATTATCAAGAAAATATTTTATGATCACTAAATGTCTGTTTCCATCATCTCTAGCTTGTTTGTCATTAAAATGAGGACGCTGTAGAAATTAATTTTTGTTTTAAATTCAATGTCTTCAAAACTTGTATAACTCAGTCAAAAACTAGGCTACCAGGTCAAACCGAGGAGAATTAGTTAACCCACCAGATGTAATAAATTTTGTCGAATTTTATTTAAACAAAAACATTATTATAACATACATTGATCATATGTCTATCAATGTTGAAAATAGGAAATGAGAAGTAAAAATCTAGGTCAGTAGGTCAAATTATATAAATGCATAGCTTTTGCCTAGAGTATATAATTTAGGCCACAACTTAATGTATTAACAGTAATCAAAATGTAATACAACTTGAGAGCAAAGATGGATCAGCTGGGATAAAAAGCTGGGTAGAGTCATAAAATATGGATCAAGTCAAGTCAATAAAGCTGGGTAAAGTCATGAAATATGGATCAAGTCAAGTAAAGTCATAAAATATGGATCAAGTCAAGTCATTAAAGCTGGGTCAAGTCATAGTGCTGGGTTAAGTAGAATGGGTCAATTCTTAAAGTTTGATGATATCATAATTATGAGCGTTGTCAAGTTTAAAAAAAATGGTTTTAAGTCATATAAGCTGGTTTGAATAATAAAAGTTGGATCAAGTCATAAATATTGGGTTAAATCATAAAACCGGGGTGAAATCATAAAAGGTGGATGGAGTCATATAAGATGAGTCATTAGAAAAACTGGATCATCATAAATGTTGGGTCAAATAATTAATGCTGGATCAGTCAGGTCATAACAGCTGGGTCAAATCATAAGCTCTGAAGTAATGTAATTATATTAAGCTGTCTTTGAATAATCTTTTTGCTGGAAACTCTGGTGAGTGTTTTTTAAGCCAAAAAGCTTTCATAAGGTTTATTTTTATATATAAGGAAAAAAGCTCTGGTGAGCAATGAAGATCCATCAGGGATCAGTTTTATTCTTTTCAACCTTATGTAGATACATGTATGATATATGTCATATGGCATGTTTGATGAACTTTATTTCAGCCAAGTGTTATTCATCTTCTTACAATCACATCATCTTTTAGCCACTATTTCAGAGAGAAATATTAAAATACTAACTTTAATTTCACTAACAAATTCAATTTTTTTAATTCACAGATTTGTTTACAGATCTTGATAAATAAGATTTTTTGTTAACATATTGACTAACATTAATTTTAATAGTGTAATAAATATAGTAAAGCATGATTTGATATTTTGTAGATGTGTATGAATCACAAGAACAATTTTCTGGTCATTTCAGGGAAGATTTGGTCAAACAGTTTATTGATCAGAGAGATCCATGGAAAGCCAACTACTTCAAGAGAGCTATTGATGCCCCACATTTAATATTCAGTGCTCCATATATTCTTGGTAAGTTGTACATTGATGCCCCACATTTAATATTCAGTGCTCCATATTCTTGGTAAGTTGTACATTGATGCCCCACATTTAGGTGGTGTCCTATATATTCTTGGTTTGTAAGGCAATAGCCTCACATTTTATTATAGGTATTCAGAGCCCCTTATATTCTTGGCAAGTTAAACATTGATGCCCAGCATTTGATATGAATATTCAGTGACCTATATATCTTTGGTAAAGTTGGACATTGAATGATTGAAATACTATGCATAATGATTTTCTAAACTTCTATAGTTTAATAACTGTTGTTAAGTGAAATGTTTGAAGTGAAATGTTTGAAGAACTAAAGTATCAGGAAAATATTCATAAAAGTTTTGTAAGAAAACTGAAAAAGTCTTCTTGAAACTGCTTTCAGACTTATATATAATATATATATATAATGCACTCTTATGAAAATGTATATATGAGCCGCGTCATGACAAAACCAACATAGCACGTTTGTGACGAGCATGGATCCAGACCAGTCTGCACAGTCTGATCAGGATCCATACTGTTCGCTATCAGTTTCTCTACTTGTTATAGAGTTGGTAAGCGAACAGCATGGATCCTGATCAGACTGCGCGGATGCGCAGGCTGGTCTGGATCCATGCTGGTCGCAAACCCATTACGTTGGTTTTGTCGTGACGCAGCTCATATATTGTTTTGTGGTCATTATTTTAGATCCAGTTAGTCCGGAAAATATATCTGCCAATGATTCATTTGGTGAAGTAACAGTTGTCAAGTCTATTTCCATTAACAACAGCAAGATGGGCTCAAACCTTGGTGGTCAAAGTCTGAACTACAAAGCTGCAGGTATGTTATCCCTTACATTATTAAATTGTTTTAAAAACACAAAATTGTTGATATTTGTTGATTGGAAAGGAAAAGATCATGAGTATTATATATCTATCAGGGGTGGGTGGGGTAATGCGATATTTTCCTGATGAGCGTTATAAATCAGAACCTGGTAATAACATGGTTCTGAGACTCTGGACCCCAACATGAGTGTTTTATCGCAATTGCAGTGTATGTCACTCAAGCCAAGTCTTTAAAGGCACATTATGCCTCAGAAATGAGGGATTTTTTACTACATTAGATAGGGCAAACGTGAGTATTATAATTAAATGATAGTTGTATAGCATAATAGATGCTTTTTAGCAACAGGATGTAAATGTGAATGTGAAATTATTTATCTTAAAGGTGGTATAATGTAAATAAAGTAGTATTTTGACTTTCATACAAAATACAAGATAATTATAACTGTACTAAGTTCAAAAAAGCAAAACAAGCAAATAATGGTTCAGGTAAATGACCACAACCCCCTCCGTGGTCGAGGGGTTAGAGTCAATGACTTCTAATCCAGTTACCTCTCTGGCGTGGGTTCGATCGCTGGGAGATGCTTTGGTAGTTTAGCGCGGAGGAAGGTAGTCTAGTATTGGTGTAATGCTCCAGGAACGATGGTTAGGAAACTACCCGCCTTTATGACTGAAATACTGTTGGGAAAAGGCGTAAAATGAAACAAACAAACAGGTAAATGACCAATGAGTAACGTTTTGGAAACCATAATAGGACACAAAAAAAAAGCTTTTGAGAAATTTAAATATAAAGTATTTCTTGGGCATAATGGGCTTTTAATAAACTTATCAAATATAATTTTAGTTCTGGGAGCGGTATTCACACACGAGCACATCAGAGATACCATGATTAAAGTATCCAACCAGACAAGTATAGGTGACTGCGGGGATCCGTCAACCACGGCATGTTACCTGATTGATGACGGGGCGTTTCTTATAGCAACTAATCAAGAACAGTACGAAACTAGTGTAAGTGAAACTATGTTGGTTTTCCCGATGTTGGCAAGTTTAAAATTTTAAGCCTTTTTTCTGTTGAGACTGCAAGTGATTAACCTTTTGTCACCAGCATAGAGTCAGTCCAGCATGCAAATTCTTGCAATTTCGACCATGCTCTTCACTGCATTGAAAATTTTCATTTTGATGTCTATACTTTTGGCTGGCTATTTTTAAATTTTTCATCTTGATATCTCTACTATTGATAATGGACAGTTCCAAAAATTGAAGCTGGGCAAGTTTATATTAAGAAATTCAGTGGGATAAGAATTAGTGGAAGCAGAACTGATGACTTGGTAATGCCACTGGCTCATTTGTACAGTCAATTCAGACACGATACTAGTAACTAACAAATTTTAGCATTTCCATGTTTGAAAACCCTTTAATAAACAGTGGATTGGTCCAAAATTCCATGTCAAGGACAAATTGATTATATTGAATTAAGGGTCAAAGGGTTAAGGAATAAATTAATCATTAATTAACAATTACTTTTTTAAACAATCATAAATTTTATATCAGTTTCTGTGACACATGTTATGATGTAAGTTTCTTTTAAATCTATGATGTATTTTGACATTATACATGTACATAGATTTAATGAATAATAGAAAATTTAGTGTAAAGATGTATTTAGTGATTATTTAGCAAAATATATATGGAAGAAAGCAGCAAAATACAAAGAAATGTTGATTTTAATATTGTTATGTTTTTAGGTTGGACGTTTCTTTGGAAAGGTAGATCCTGAAGTAATGTTTCAACTTTACAATAGCTCCTTCTTTCATAGGTATTTGAATGTTTATTTGATTTTACTCATGAAATATGATTCTATATCAGTCAAGTATACTTCACATTTGTTAAAAGCAAATAAGAAAAACTAGTATGAAATTGGGTGGAGTCGGAATTCATATTTATTTCTAGGGACCACTTTCAATAGCTTTAGTTATTTATTTCATTATTACAAACTAAAAAATGATAATTCTGTTCTGTAATTGGCCAATAAACACAAAAGAACACCAAAATTAAAAAGATTTTGAGAAATAAAAATCAATGCAGTTCTAAGGCAAAATGTGCATTTAACCCTTTAGCTCAAATATACGCAAAACAACGCACTTTCGACTCCTTCCCCTCTTTTAGGCCTCAGTGAAAAAATGCCCTATTTAGTCCCCAAATACTGTTTTTATGCCGCCACAGAGTGGGAGCATATAGCGCTGCACTTGTCCGTCCGTCACGCCGTCCGTCCGTCTGTCCGTACGTCCCGAAATCTTGTGAATGCAACTGCTCTTAAACCGGATGGCAGATTTTGCTTAAACTATCAGGGATGAACAACCTTAATATGTAGATGGCAGTAAAGGAAGGAATTTTTGCTGCGACCAAATTTAACAGAATTATGGCCCTTTGTTGATTTTTAGCTCACCTGAGCTTGCTCAGGGTGAGCTTTTAGGATCGGTGAATGTCCGTCGTCCGTCGTCCGTCCGGCCGTCCACAATTACTTGTGAACACTCTAGCGGTCGCATTTTTGCCTCAATCATCATCAAACTTGGTCAGGATGCTTATCTAGTTGAAAGCTCGGATGAGTTCGAACATGGGTCATCTCGGATGAAAAACTAGGTCACAAGAGCTAAAAATAGAAAAACCTTGTGAACACTCTAGAGGTCACATTTTTGACCCAATCATCATCAAACTTGGTCAGGATGTTTGTCTAGGTGATAGCTTGGATGAGTTCGAACATGGGTCATCTCGGATGAAAAACGTAGGTCACAGGAGCTATAAATAGAAAAACCTTGTGAACACTCTAGTGGTCACATTTTTGAACCAATCATCATCAAACTTGGTCAGAATGCTTGTCTAGTCAATTGCTTGGATGAGTTCGAACATGGGTCATCTCTGATGAAAAACTAGGTCACAGGAGCTAAAAATAGAAAAACCTTGTGAACACTCTAGTGGTCACATTTTTGACCCAATCATCATCAAACTTTGTCAGGATGCTTGTTTAGATAATAGCTCGGATGAGTTCGAATATGGGTCATCTCGGATGAAAAACTAGGTCACCGGAGCTATAAATAGAAAAACCTTGTGAACACTCTAGTGGTCACATTTTTGCATCAATCATCATCAAACTTGGTCAGGATGCTTATCTAGTTGATAGCTTGGATGAGTTCGAACATGGGTCATCTCGGATGAAAAAGTAGGTCACCAGAGCTAAAAAATAGAAAAACCTTGTTAACACTTTAGCGGTCCACATTTTTGCATCAATCATCATCAAACTTGATCAAGATGCTTGTTAAGGTGATAGCTCGGATGAGTTCGAACATGGGTCATCTCGGATGAAAAACTAGGTCACAGGAGCTAAAAATAGAAAAACCTTGTTAACACTCTAGTGGTCACAATTTTGACTCAATTGTCATCAAAACTTGGTCAGGAAACTTGTCTAGGTCATTGCTGGGAATAAATCGAACATGGGACATTTCGGATGAAAAACTAGGTCACAGGAGCTAAAAATAGAAAAAATCTTGTTAACACTCTAGTGGCTACTGTTGTGATCCAAATATTCTGTTAATTGGTCTGAAAGTTTTGTTTTGATGATTTCTAAGTCAAGATCGAACATGGGTCATCTTGGATGAAAAACTAGGTCACACCGCCAAATATGGAAAAACCTTGTTAACATTCTAGTGGTCACATTTTCGACTCAATTATCATCAAACTTGGTCAGGATGTTTGTCTAGGTAATTGCTTGGATGAGTTCGAAATCGCATGTGAAACTAGGTCACCGGAGCTAAAAATAGAAAAATCTTGTTAACACTCTAGTTGCTACTGTTTTGATCCAAGTATCCTGGAAATTGGTCTGAAAGTTTGTTTTGATGATTTCTAGGTCAAGTTTGAATATGTGTCACCTGGGTAAAAAACTAGGTCGCACTGCTCAAATATGGATAATCCTTGTTAACACTGTAGTGGTCACATTTTTGACTCACCTGTCATGAGACTTGGTCAGAATGCTTGTCTAGGTAATTGTTTGGATGAGTTTGATAATTCAGGTGAGCGATCTAGGGCCATCATGGCCCTCTTGTTTCACTATATACTATGTAGAAATTTTGTGAACCCAACTCCTCTTAAACCGGATGGCAGATTTTGCTTAAACTTCCAGGGATGAACAACCTTAATGTGAAGATGGCAGTAAAGGAAGGAATTTTTGCTGCGACCAAATTTAACAGAATTATGGCCCTTTGTTGATTTTTTCACTATATACCATATAGAAATTTTGTGAACGCAACTCCTCTTAAACCGGATGGCAGATTTTGCTTAAACTTCCAGGGATGAACAACCTTAATGTGTAAATGGCAGTAAAGGAAGGAATTTTTGCTGCGACCAAATTTAACAGAATTATGGCCCGTTGTTGATTTTTTCACTATATACCATATAGAAATTTTGTGAACGCAACTCCTCTTAAACCGGATGGCAGATTTTGCTTAAACTTCCAGGGTTGAACAACCTTAATATGTAGATGATAGTAAAGGAAGGAATTTTCGCTGCGACCAAATTTAACAGAATTATGGCCCGTTGTTGATTTTTTCACTATATACTATGTAGAAATTTTGTGAACGCAACTCGTCTTAAACCAGATGACAGATTTTGCTTTTACTTTCAGGGATGAACAACCTTAATGTGTAAATGGAAGTAAAGGAAGGAATTTTCACTGCGACCAAATTTAACAGAATTATGGCCCTTTGTTGATTTTTTCACTATATACTATGTAGAAATTTTGTGAACACAACTCCTCTTAAACCGGATGGTAGATTTTGCTTAAACTTCCAGGGATGAACAACCTTAATGTGTAGATGGTAGTAAAGGAAGGAATTTTTGCTGCGACCAAATTTAACAGAATTATGGCCCTTTGTTGATTTTTTCACTATATACCATACATATGTTGTCAGTGGGGGCATCCGTGTCCTTTGGACACAGTTCTAGTTTGTTTAAATAATGTTGTTAAAAAAAGTGACCACTTTTTCGGCATGGCCCCACATCCAAATGATTCATCAGGGGGTTGCCAGAAGGGGGATGTGCCCCCTTCTGTTTGGGGGATTTGAAGGGGGGCGGCAGTCTTGTGAGAGGCTAAAAATGACCCCAGATCGATCATAAGGTAACGTGTAACCAACGCTGAAAAGCATTTGACTCTATCTCAATCCATTGAGAAGTTGCAGCACTTTGAAATCAATTTTGATGGAAGCCTGAGCATGTTGTTACAAAGGCAATGGTCCAGTCAACATTTGTGCCAAGTTTTATAAGTATTGAAGCAGTTTTAATTGTTTTATAGCAATTTGAACTTGTAACGGGAGACTTTTCAATGAAAACAGCCATTTTTCACAAAATGCTCATGAAGTGATGGGTTAAGCTATTGAAATTAAGTTTTGAATTTGTTTTATTGTTTCAGAATACATCAGTTTGATTATACAGCTACATGTAACATTGTCAATGATGAAACTAGTGCTGCAAATATTAACATTGTAAGTCATTTTGTCGACCATAATAATATTTGTATTCTGTGAGTGTTTTTTTTTTTTTTTTTTTTTTTTTTTTTTTTTCCCCTACCGGTTTACCGGAGGGGACTTTAGGTTTACCCTCCGTGTCCGTCTGTCCGTCCGTCATTCCGTCCGTCCACAAAACTGGATCCCGTGATAACGCAAAAAGTACTGAAAATATTTTTATGAAACTTGATATATTGATAGATGGCAGTATGGAGATTATGCACGTCTTTTTTTTTTCTTCCTATGTTGAAAATTCTGGTTGCTATGGCAACAAATAGACTAGAAAATAATGGCAAATTTAACACATAAACTGGATCCAGTGATAACTCAAAAGTACTGAAAATATTTTTATGAAACTTGAAATATGGGTAGATGGCAGCCTGGAGATTATGCAAACCTTTTCTTTTCTTCCTATGTTGAAAATTCTGGTTGCTATGGCAACAAATAGCCTGAATTTCAAGATTTCTGATTTAAATTTTTCAGCTTTTTCACTATATGTTCTTTATTTCTTAAGGTGTTTACTTCAAACTTTAATATAAGTTTCTGGTCATCAACCACATCATAAGTGACAAGGTTTATAACTCTAGCACAAAAATATCAGTATTACCTCCCTTGAACTTAGATTTTTTAGGGGAAAAAATGTTGTCTTTTTTAAATAACTTCTTTATTTCCTAATGTATCTACTTCAAACTTCATATATATGTTTCTTATTATCACTCGACATTTTTGAGAAGGTTAAATACTCCAGCAAGACTATTTCCAGAATTATGTCCCCCTTGAACTTAGATTTTTTTCGAGAAACTGGTATTTTCACTTCAACTTCTTCATTCCTTATAGGATTTACTTTAAAATCCCACATCGTAATAATATGACAAGGTTGTATAAACATAATTTATAATATTATTATAAATGGCAATTATTGCCATAGGAGTGTATGACAATTAAAGAACTTTTTTGAGGGACCGGTAGGGGACTACTGTATTGCCCGCAATACTATCAAATGCTTGTTTTTATATGTTTCTTCACTCATACATGTACTTTTTAAAAATGATTTTCTTGTTTTCTTTTGTCATCCACAGTGCATGCGTTGATAAATATAATGTTATAAAGTGCTGAAAGGATTGCCCTTGAACCTTCAGCACCAATGATAAAGGCATTTAGTAAATAGGAAAGTAATAATTAAAAAAAATAACAAAAATAAAACTAAAAACCCATACATTTTATCTGGACATCAATATTGTTATTTTTTCACAAATTTCTTAAGGTAAAATTATTTTGTATTAATTATTTAAACTAACATTTTATTTTTCAGCCATTTGTTGCCCTGTTTTACGAATTCCTTACTTTCAACTGGTGGTCAAGTATTATGACATGGTAAGTATATATCTGTTTTACTTATTTTTAAAAAAGTATATTTTTTCAATAAGGAACAATTAGAGATAATAAATTTAATTATAATTCTAAGAAAGTATACAAAAAAAGTCAGAATAATACAAATTACTTTTGAAGTATGATGAATGACAATGTAATACACCTTTATTTCTCTTGTTGGTGTGACATCAGGCATTTTTCAATCTGACACATCAATGCGTCAGTGTAACATGGGCTGGGAGATCCCATGACCTCTTCTTTGCTAAATTATTGGCACAATCTTTCAATCAACCCTTAAACCTGCTGGAACTAAAATTGATTAACCTTTGCCACCAGTATAGAGCCAGGCCAGCCTGATTTTCTGTGCAGTCTGACCAGGCTCTATACTGTTAGTTTATACAGAATTTATTTTAGTTTGATTGTGTAGGAAGCTATTAGCTTATTAACACACTTTCAAATCCATTCCTTGAACCAACCAGTACTGAGCAATGAGTGTAAAGTTTCTTGCTAAAGGAAACAACAACTGGCCCCTGTCAGGGTTTTGAACCCATGCAGCTAGCGATCATTAGATTACTAGTCCGAAGCGTTAACCTTTTGGCCATGCCGCCACTCCAGTAACTCTATACTGTTGGCTGTGTTACTTTGAGTTATCATCTTGATATCCTACAAATTGATAATGGATAGTTTCCAAAATGCTCGACAAATCCATTTATTGAAGTCAGTAGTTTAAGGGGTAAGCAAATGTTGTAATATAGGTGAATGTACATTGGTTTTGGAGGTATAATGTCTCCAAATGCAGGTATTTCTTAGCTCTGTCTAGACTAGGAACATAAATTAACCTTCACTTTAGGTATCAATTAAGCAAGTTATTTAGCCTGTTGACAAATATATAACTTTCTTTGTATTTTTCAGGACCATTACGAACTTCAACATTTACAAGTAAGTGTTAAACTGTTATATTTAACATACATATGTCTTAAATGTTATTAATGAAAAAAGATAACCCATTGATTTGTAACAACATAGAATATGGTTAGCTTTTTAATTTGGAGCAACGGAATAATTGCAAGGGTTTCTGTCCATCTTCTCAGGGAGTGTTGAATTAAGCTTCAGCAGTTTCTTTCTCAAGGCATTAGAGATAATTGTGCTTTTTCCATAAATATTTTGAATCATTTAAAAATTTGTCTTTTTTGTCACATAAAATATTATTTATTGAAGATTTATACCTCGAATATGGAGAAGTAAGTTGTTTGTTGAGAAATAAGTTGGTTTAGGGGCAGTTGCCAAGTGGTTTAGGTGTTTGCCTGTCAAATGAGCAATAATTGGTTCAAGCTACACTGAAGCGACAACAGTACTGGTTAGACTAGGAAGCAGACTTAAGACTGATTCAAATGAACTTCATACTTTCATCACAGTCAAGTGAAAATTTAGTATTTTTGATGTTAACAGCTAATAAGTAAGTAAGTAATTCATATTAGAGCGACATATTTTAACACCCTGCTACATTGGGCCTATAAGTCACTTCAAACTATATACAATTCATAAATATGTACAGATTCCAGGAGTGTGAGAACAGAAGGGAAGAGAAATACATGACTAAAATACTGTTGAAATTAGAGTTGAGCAGATATTTTTCTTTGTAGTTCTTTGTAGTAAAAACTAGTAAAGTAAACAGTTAAATTTTCTGTTTTCAGTATGATGTATACAGAACCTGCATATGGTATGTATTGTTATATTTTATTTAATACAGTCTGACATCGACAAAGCGGTCACAGTGTGACCTCTAGAAAGGGTTCGTCTGTAGAGCAAAAACCTTTTCATCAACAACATTATAAATTCATCTAAAAGTAATCATCACTCATATGGGGCGCCTGTGGCCGAGTGGGTAAGGTCGTTGACTTCAAACCACTTGCCCCTCACTGCTGTGGGTTCGAATCCCAACAGGGACTTTGGATTCTTTCATGTGAGGAAGCTATCCAGCTAGCTTACGGAACCCTTGTGGTTCTACTCAGGTGCCCGTTTGTGCCTGAAATAATGCACGGAAGGGCACCTGAGGTCTTCCTCCACCAGTAAAGCTGGAACGTCGCGATATGACCTATACTGTGTCGATGTGACGTTAAACCCTAAACAAACAAACAAACAAAATCATCACTCACGCTAATTTTAACCTCTGTTGAGAAACCCCTCTCTTCATCAGCTATTTTTTTTATTTTCTGAAAAGTGCTGCTGTAAAGAGGTAACACTGTATTCTAAAGTTCAAAATATAATACAGATACAAGTTTTCTTAATTTTGAGTACAGACATATGTATATCGTTAAGATAAACTAAATGCTATATAAGAGAAAAGGTGCCCAAGTGGTTAAGGTGTCTTGTCACTCGACCTAGGCCTTATTATACTAGTAGTTGCAGTTGTGTTTCTTCATAATAATTAATATGTGACTAGAACTGATTTGTTCCAGGAAGTAGGCTTGAGGGTAATTTGAATATGCTTTAAGCTTTTTTCACATGGTAAAACAATTATGAAACTTGTTTTATGATGATTTTGATTCACAGCATAATCTGTACTAGCTGACCTTTAATTAAGATAAAGCATTGAAAAAGAGCTAAGCTTTGTTGGAAGAAAGGTTTGTGTCTGAAACCTTATGAAAGTAGATAAATATATAATTCTTAAATTTAATAGGTTTTTCGAAAAATGTTCAAACCATGTTCAGTCTGTAATTAAAACCATAGACTAGATTTTAATTTTACTTTGATTTGAAACTTGGGGTTATATGAATTACAGGTCTAGAAGATGAGCTGTTCAACATGGCTAAGACAAGAGAATGTGTGAAGAAACAGGCACAGTATTTCTTCTCTGACCTAGAGTATCTTGAAGGTCAGACTGATTGTGAAGTTAGAAATATCAACTGCTCAAGGTAAGTTTGTTCTAGGGGTTCTGTATGGCAGAATGGGTTGGGTCGTTGACTTTCAATTACTTGCCCCATCACTGATGTGGTTTTTAGAATCCCATCATGAACATTAGATTATTTCTTATGATAAAGTGGTTCCATCTGTTTGTTTAGTTTTGATGTCAATTTCAACATGTTTATATTATATTATATTTGTATTATGCATGTATGTATATAGGTGTAATCTATTATAGTTTGACTTTGTTGATATGCTCGCCCATATGATTTATTTCTTTTGGTGAGGGTGAATAAGCCATACACATTAAATGTTTTGTTGACTTAATGTAACCATTGCAAGCAAATCTTCTTTTAACTACCTGAAAATATTACCAGAAGCATTTCTTTACTTGTCCATATTAAACTTACGAAGTGAATTCTGAAAATTTTCACTTGTCCGTATGGAAAAAGCTTGACAATAAGGCTAATTGATTTTGCCACTGCTGATTAACCATTTAATAAATACCTTATTTCAGAGAGTTTGTGGTTCATCGTGTTATGGATACAAACCTTGTGATGGTGATCACTGATGCGGAAAAAGACGGTTGTGACAAGTGTCGTAAATCTGTCAATCCAAAAGATCTTATACAGGAGCCTATAGAACCCTCTGCTAGGGAAGGTAGGGTATACAACTTAAGTTCACACTTTCTATTTTTAAGAACCAATTTTTGTACATTTATTGGTTTTAATGGGCCCATGGACAGAATATAGATTTGCCCTTGTTCCATGTTTCATGCAGTTTGTCTGTAGACTGAGAAAACACTGGAATTTGGAGGCACTTGTGTCCTATTGACACTTTTCTTGTTAGAAAATCAGTCTTTGATAGACAATTTATCAATGGTGTGCCTATTTGGTAATGTAATGGAATACTCTTTTACTTTGGCTTAACTTAAAGACAAATGTGATTGGAGTGTTGAAACTGATATAGACTAAGTTGTTGGGTTTTTTTGTGTTGTTTTTTTCCAGTAATACTTAGCTTTCAGTTTTTGTATAGATAGTTCCTGATTCTACAATATTTGCTCCTTTGCCAGAAGTGGCCACCCTCTATTGATGGTCAATTTTCTATTTATTATAATTAAAAAAAAAATATGAAAGAAGCATATAAACAGCTGATTTAGTTGAATTGTCAAATTCTTTCATATATACAGTAGAACTTCTATGAGTCGAACTTCGATTAGTCGATTTTCTCGATGTGTCGAATAAAAATGAAAGTCCCGACTTTCCCCCCTATATATTCCTTATAAAAACCTATTTATGAGTCGAAATTTTATGTGTCGAATTTTTCGATGTGTCGAGGTTTTTTCGTGGTCCGTATAAAGTAAATCTAGTGCAATTTACCACAAATAAGTCGAAGTCGTTGGATTGTTTTTGACACCTTTGACCTCGAGACATTTTTCACACCTTATCTGGCTGCGAAGACGATTTCCAATCAACTTGTGTGATAGGTGTTAATAACACAGCCGTGTGTTCAAACAGCCTTTGTTTGCGATAAAATGTGTGATAAAATGCTTTAATCGTAACTTTTTTAATTGCCGTAGTGGTATTTGAAAGTAAACAGTAAGAACTACTTCACTACTTTCATTTGAAAACATCCTTGACCCGGTGTCGCGTGAGAATAACACGCGAAATATTTACTATAAGCTGGTTTAGTTATCGCCCTTTCGTAATCATACGCCTTTTGTAACTCTTTGGGTAGTCGTGAAAAATGTAATTTGACATGCTATATTTATCATTGTAAAATTTAAAGATAAGATTAATGATGGAAAAACATGAAATATGTTTCGTTATAGAGCTTATAATTAGGACTAGTCACGGGTCGAAATTTTGTCAGGAATTGAGAGCGATTCATGAGTCGAAGTCCCGATGTGTCGAAGTTTTTACGCAAGTCCCTTCAACTTCGACTTACCGAAGTTCTACTGTATATATATATGTATGAAGAATGATATAGTAGGATCAATATCAGGATAACATGGAGGAGATAGAATTGTGAGCAAATTTTTAAAAAAATTCTTACCATAGAATATATTAGGAATGACCAACAAAATTGTGACCGGAGGAAGTAATACATGTTAAGTGAAAAACATCTTTAGCCTTTATTCATGTCAGAAGTGTTTTGTTTTTTCTTAACCTTTTAGGCATTGGTATTGGTCCAAACAAGTTAGAATTTTTAGAAAAAAACAAAAATGGGTCCATACCTAGTAAAGTAAATCTGCCAAATTGTGAAAGTTGACACCATTTTGGGGAAAATAACAATTCATTGAAGTGGGAACAGGTGCATTTATTGTACTCCTTCTTTAGAAGAGAACAATATACAATGCTAATATACCAAAAAATAATATTCCAAAATTTCTACAGAAATTGGCTATAGAGTAATGTTTAGTATTTATATATTTCAGTTGATAATGAGTTTTGTCACATGAAACCACGCTACAGGAAATCTACAAGCAACTGTTATGATAGCCATCCAGCAGTAAGTTGCTTTAAATATTTATAAATAGATTATTCGTGATGAGTGTATTACGAAATTTTCTTATCCCTGATTATAATAAGTATACTATTGTCATTTATACATTGTACATTTTAGGAAGTTTTGTTTATTCAAATAATAAGCAGAATATTTGACATTTGTTAGAGTTGCCTCCCTTACACTGTTAGAAGTTAATAAGCACTGAGCTTTTCTTTCTTTATCCAAAAATTAAGGCTAAAAAAATAGAAATAAGGGAAAATATTAAAGCTTAATATGTTATAGATCATGATTCCAAGTATTGTCATGCTATATTTTTCAGTTCTTAACTATTATTAGTTCAATGACAAATTTTATTTCTTTTCATTTTTTCTTAGTAAATTTTACTGTTTGTTTATACAAATTCATAAAATGCTGTATTGTATGTCTTTATGAATTTCAAAATTTGTTATAATGTTTATACATTTATGTGAAATCAGGAAATAAAGTAAAAAAATAAAAAAAATTAAAAATAAATAATTATTGAATTTTTCATGAACTGTATGTGAGTATATGTAACTTAATTGCTTTCAATTTATCAGTACTAATTTTTAGTTTCTTTTCTTTTTTTCATAATTTACAGGAGAATACAGATAAATGTTCAGCATCTTTAGCTCATCCTGTTTCCATGGTGATAATTTTCCTTGTTTCAATGGCAATCATTCTACTTAACAACCGGTGATGGTGAAATAAGACTTAAGAATAGCCACACATTCCTGTTCTTAGTTATATTTTTCATTCAGAAGCAACGATTTTCCACCTGACCTTGATTACAGCCTTTGACCTTGAACAGTGACCTTGAGTGGTAAAGGTCAACAGATTTTCTTTTATATAAGAACTTCATTGTTTGAGAAAAAATCTTTTGTTGGAGTAGAATATATGATAGGTCTGTTTTGTTTTTGAGTTCTGTTTTATATCTACAATGAATTAATGTTATATTTTGAATAAGAAAAACACAAAAGTAAGAAAGTGCCAAAAATGCAATATTGGTGATTTGTGTTTATAGTGTGTTATAGTGTATAAACAAAGCAAAAAAAAAATACTTCAGCCAAACTTAAATTTTATATACATTATGTTTTAAGAGGAAAACTTATAAAAATTGTTGTCATTTAAGAAATCAGAAAAACATTTAACAAAAATGGGTTAAATGATGGGAGCCCAGATAAGCCTACCTAGTTATGTAGTTTTACCATAATATGTGCATATTGCTCACATGCTGCTTAAAGGAGCTCCACTGAGGTCAAAAAACCTAAAAAAACATAAAATTTAAAATTCTAACATAAATTCTTACATAGATTAAGTGAGACACTTAAATTGGAATTATTTGCAAGAATAATAAAGAAATATGCTCAGAATTAAATTTAAAAAAAAAAATTTTTGTGTGAACTTTAGCCTGATTTGAGTGAAAAGTGAGGCAACATTTTCATTTTTGGGTAAAATTTCACAAAAAAAAAAAAAAAAAATGATTCTGGAAATACTGGGAGAGGGAATGATCTGAAAATTTGCACAAAAGTTATTGGTCTAGACATACATCAAATGGTACACAAATATGATAATATATTTCCAGTCCCTTCATGACAAAAAATTGAGTGGATTCCCGTGAAATACATTATATGATGTGTAGTAATATTATAGGGTTTGATATTTAAAATTAGGCGTGGCCATTTTACATTCTCAGCCAGGTAAAGTAAAGATTATTTTGTTGGGTATATATGCAACATTGGGCTCGTTCATGTTTGTTGAAATATGTTTTCATATGATGTCATATGTTTATTATTAGTCACCATTTTGTGTTAAAGCTTTAAAAATCTACAACAGATTGTGTTAAAATAGTTGTGAAATATTGCGATAGATGTTTGTATAAGTTGAATATTTATTATAGAGTATATTACACATATATTAACTGTTTTCTTTTCCCCCCTCTGGATATGTGGTGCTCCCTCAAACGCCCTGCCTTGTGTATATAGTGTTTATAAAACAGGCTGCATAGTCCTTTATGCTCATTATTTTGAAACATATAACAGTCCTGATTTAATTTTGAAAAATCTTTGTAGATAAATTTTTCCCTAAATTAATGAAGTGTTGATTTGATGGTATCAGTTTTGTTGGGTTTTTGCTAAATATATGTTAAAATATATAAATATACGAGGGATGATCAAAAATAAACCGGACTGTGACTGGCAATTGAAGAATTTTCATCCTATCACTTATTGTTATATATCACACTTAATCGGAAAACAATACCTGTAAACTGATACTATATCTAACCTGATAACGCAAATAGCTTGTCCGTAACAGCGAATTCAAAAACCATGGTAACGCACACCCGGCGCAGTGCGTAAATTCGCCTTGACGTGAGACGCTTTATGCTGCGTGTATTTTACAATATGGCAAATTTAGATTTCAAAATACGTCAAAACGTCATGTACCATATCTTTGACGTTGTCAGTAAATATGGCTTCATTTAAACCATATTTATATTTACAATCACAATTCAAACGTCACATGTTAATGAAATACTCGCGTTAAAATTATGTCGTCGGAATGTCTCGAAAATCGATCAATAGGAAAGATTTGTCAAATGTAAGACGAGAAACTGTTTAAAACGTAGAAAAAGATTATGGCTATCAAGGGACAAGTTCCAGAAAGCCACAGCATTTTTTTTGATTAGCTTAAAAGATTAAGAAAGGATAATAGAGAAATAGAAACAAGTAAGGGAGAGACAGAAATAAGACATTTTCAAGGACGTTGGTGACGTCAATCGCCAAGACGTTGAAAAATGACAGTCGATTGACTGCGGACATTGTCAACGATGTTCGACAGTAACTACGGGACGGTGCAGTCAACTCTGAGGATATTAAAATGATAATAGTTAACGCATTAATTACATGTATTGTATTCTTGGTTTACAATTGTATCAATTATTTTCTTATTTTACGCAGTAGTCTTATGGAGAAATTGTGTCAACAATTTAACAGCCACTGTTCAAATTGGCTATGCGTTTTATTCATTTTAAAATAATGACAATTTTGATCATAGTTGTATTATTCTGTTATTTTTTTCGTATGTATGATACATTATCATTCAGCAACATTATTTTACATTATTTGTAATACATAATATAGTTAATTGCATGTGCGATTTTTTCAACAATCAAGTTACATATGGAAATAACGGAGTTTGCGTCATTACAGGAGCTCTTTATCACCATTCATTCTACAACACTACAATATGATACCCACTTGTACAGAAATATATATAGGCAGGGGAACCGCCGCATCAATAGCATGACTGTACCACATATTGGCCTACTCCGTGAATGAGTAAAAATCTGCTCCATTAAGGACAATACGCTTGTGACGTCGTTAACGTCAATTTTAAAGTTATACCGTGCGCCGCATTGCTTTACATGTGCATGCCAATAACAGCATAACTTTTTTCTTTGTTAATATTTCTTGTTGGTATTTTTTGTATCATTTAGGGGATAGATTCCGATTTATTTTCCGTGTATTGTTATGTAAATTCATTTAACAGGTTAAGAATCATTTACAAAGTCCGGTTAATTTTTGATCATCCCTCGTATATATATATTTAAAAAAAATAAGATGTGTAACGAAATGTACACATAGCTTTTCATATTGTAACAAAAACTGTTTAGATGTAATAAAACATTGATGGTTAACCACAGAATGCAAACTTTCACATACCAACATACACATGCAAAATTTCACATACCATACTACTACCTTACCAACCTTCACGTATTAACTTTATCATACCAACCTCCATTTTCAACCTTCATTATACTAACATTCACAAAAAAAATAACATACCAACCTCAGAATGCAAAATTTCACATACCAACCTCAACATACAAACTTTAATAAAGCAATCTAAACATACAGATTTTTCACATACTAATTTCAACATACAAATTTTTTACATACCAATCTCAACATACAAATTTTTCACAACCAACTACAACATGCATACTTAGACAGACCAGCTTTCACATGCAAACTTTCATATACCAACATACACATACCAACATTGACATGCAAACTTCCACATACTAACCTAATAACAGACCAACATTCACATACCAATATTCACATAATTTAACCGTAGAGTGCATCGGATGTCATATTGCCTTGTTGAACATTGTCAATTTAGGAACATAACTGTTTCCATACCATGCGATAGGTTGAGGATGAAGTGATATGTTAATTTCATCGCCTTTTCACCCTGGTATGTATGTTCAAGTCAATGCACATGTACAGACTTTGGAATGTTATGTTGATTCTTTTTTTGGGGAAAATATCACAAAGTATAGTTTATATTGTTTCGTGAGGTCAGTGTGTAATTTTATTTATTATATACCTGTAAATATTTTTCTGCATTTAATACTTGTAGCACATGCACAAATAAGACACAACAAAAATGATTTTGTAATGCTCAATGAGATGCTCGCGCTATACCAATAACTTTGCCAATTATGTTATGGTTGAATATATAGTTTTAAATTGACAAGGTTTATGATAACAGAATTATTTTAGGAGTGTCTTGATATTTCGTATTTGGGTTTTGTGGATTTATTAAGACTACTCCCACTTGGCGCTACTTGCCTGGCGCCACGCGAGATTGTATCCTAGAAAAATCGACTAGAGTTAATAGCATGTAGATGTTCCAGATAATGATAGTCCTATAACAAATGTATTGTTTTTATTGTTTATGATATCTTGGATGATACATTATGTAACATAAGGTATCGAATAAATTCTGTTATGTGGTGTAAAGTGTTATAAATAGAAACCAAAGATGAATATTGAGCCTAATTTCAAAAAAGTTGCCAAAAGATGAGGATAAATTATTTATGAATAGCTTATGTGTGATAAGCATAATGTTGCAGTGCCAGAAATTTGTTGTTTTTGTTTTGGGTTTGTTTTTTCATCCATGTCAGTGTTTGTAGGTGTGATTTCTCTATGACCCTTTTTTATATGTCATAGATTTTTTTGACTTTCATTGAAATTTGATACAATTCTTTTAAAAAGAAATTAAGGACAACTCTTTTGTTACTATATTGTATGTTGCAGAAAATTGAAATGTTGCAAAAGATATTTGAGCCGTGCCATGACAAAACCAACATAATGGGTTTGCGACCAGCATGGATCCAGACCAGCCTGGGATTCCACACAGTCTGATCAGGATCCATGCTGTTAGGTATCAGTTTCTCTTCTTGTTATAGGGTCTGTAAGCGGCTCAAATGTATTTATTTGATGAATATGCAAACAAGGCCTAGAAAGTGGTGTGCTTTTTTTTCTCATTCGAAATACCTGAATTAACTTTCTCTGTGATGCTATTAATAATTTAGTTGACTTAAATTTGTTTGTTTACAATGAATGCAATCTATATGAAATATGTATTTTGAAAACAAATTGTAAATATAGTTTGTTATATTTATATCAAATGCTAAGATTTAAGGTTGGAAAGAAATATATATTGTTACCTTCTTGAATTTATACATGCAAGAAATCCATAAAATCCAGGATTTAAGTGACCTAGATACAACTGTATAACATACATGGTTTGACTAGTCAGTAAGTTGTGTTTATCAAAATGGGAATGTTATTATACTGTTTATTATTTTCATTCTTTTTGTTGAAAAATTACTTGCTATTTGCACAAGAAAAGTTTTTTTCAAGTAAAGTGCAATATTAATGGTATATTGATTGAGATCTTTTTTATATAATACAAATACAGTATACCATGTTTTTATAGGCCATCCATGGAGTCACATAAAATCCTGAAAAATTCATAATCATTTTGTCTGAAGAAGCACATGAATTTTGTCTTGAAATTTTTCAGTTGAGATTCACAATTATAAAAAAGAATCGTATTTTATGACAGGTTTGTCTGTATTTTGTTGGCTTTTATGACAGGTTTGTCTGTAAAGTATTAACATTAATGATGAATTTTAATACAGGTTTCATATTGCTAAACATGAAAATGAAATCTCATTGATATTTGCTTACAGTAAGGATTTGAAAAAAAAATTGGAAAAAATTATAAAAATTAAAACATTTACCTCTGCATGTTTGACTGTTTAATGTCTCAATGTTTTCACTAAATGGTTGTTCATATTTTTCCAGCAGTGTTATTTATTAATATTTCCTCATATCCATATCATTTTACCCCCTCCCCCATTTTACACCTATTCATCATCTCAGTTTTTTTTTCATTTTTACATGTAGGTCTACAAATTTTTTCATTATATCATAATTATCATTTCCCCCTTTTTCATTATAATCACTTTTCCCGTTTTTTTATCATTTCCCCCTGCCTTTTCATTATTGTCATTTTTCACATTTTTTATCACTTTCCCCAGTTTTTCCTAAATTATCATTTTCACATTTTCATTATCTTCACCCATCCCATTTTTCTTATTATCAATTTTCCCGTTTTCAAAGTTCTCATTATACAATATCATTTCATTATTGATTTTTATGTTTTAGAAATTAAATATATGTATTTATATATAAATGTAGATTATTTCATCATGTTTTTTTTTTGCAGTGCAATAGTAGTTTGTTGTTACTTCCCTAGAATATCATTTAAATCGTTATATATACATGTATAGTGTTAATATTATACATGCATGTTTAAGTGAATTTTCTTGAAGAATATTTCTGCATTTTTTTCACATGCAGGAGATGTTACAATAAATGGATTTTTTTGTGTTTGTATCAAATGCAAACAAGATGATCATATGTTGTATAAAATTTAGATAATCCGGACCCATTGCTTTGTTTAGTAATCCGAAACACGATTTTTTTATTTACGAAATGTTTAAAAGTTGTAGAATTTGATATACAGTAGATTTTATGAATTAAAGAGTTGATTTCAAGTATATAAGCAAGGTTTTTTTTTTAAATTATTTTTGTATAATCAAAATGCAGGAAAAGTTAATTATATTATTATATATATTATAAATGATTTTTTTCAATATTTAAGGTTTTCTAAATACGATTTTCCTACTTTTATGTCAATTGATGAAAAAGAAAAATTGACGTGTTGTAAATGATTTTAGAGTTTTTTTTATTAAAATGTTTTCTGTTAAATTAATGGGTTTTATGTGTTTAAAGTTAAAATATTTATAGTAGAGACTGTATAAATAAAATAGTATTTGTTAAGATTTATAAGCCTGTTTTATCCTTTTTGAATAAATCATTTTCCAGTAATGCTGATTGTTATGATTGTTATTTTTTAGTTATCCCCCACTAACGGAACCGGGAGGAGGATATTGAATTGGTGTTGTCCATCGGTCCGTCCGAATTTTGTTTCAGATCTAGTTCTCTGCAACAACTGGCTGGAATTCAATGAAACTCTATGGGAACCATCAATACCAATACGACATGCGCATATCGTCGGCTTGTTCTGGTCCGACCCTTCAACATAAAGTTATGGCCCTTGATTAGTTATGTAGTATGCATTATATTATAGAGCAATATTTCTATTTCTTTGCTACTGCTGGATTGATTTCAACAATACTTTATCATAACCATCAATATAAAAAAAGGCAATTTAAAAATAGAAATAGCAAACTTAAATACCAGTGGCAAGTTACCTAAATTGAATTAAAGCATAGCGACAGCTGTGTCGAGTTGAGATCGATATTAAATTAGCTGAAATGTTTGTAGCTTTCATCCTTGTGAAAGTAATTGTAATATTTTAGTTTTCTTACTCGTGGACATAATAAGTTATATATGCCACCAGTATACAGTACAGCCAGAATTGCCAATTATTGCAGCGTGCTTTAGGCGCAAGATATACTACGTAAATGATGCAGTGTTATTTGGAACTAGCCTGAAAAACTTTTTTAAAGCATAACAAAGACTATACCATATCGTATCTTCAGACTGAAATACTCATACGTCACCCATCAGTCACCCAGGTTTAGATGAATATATATTATACAATTTATGTATAGATTTTAATATTTTTGTTTATCTTTATCAATTATACGGGTATAGAACACCATTTGAACAAGTGTGTTCGGGAATAACGTACAAATAAACCTACAACCGACATGTCTATGAATTACTATATCAGGTCAAAATTGATTGCTTTTGAAAATTAAGACGAAAATTAAGTCAAATAATCTTATAATCGGATTATAGTAAATGAATTGTCGTGGCCATGTATTTTCATAAGATGTTAGCAACAATAGCTCCCATATGAAAAACAATTCCTTAATCTTCTAAATCCGTCATAAACCGTTACAAATACTTGAACACAATTTATTATTGGGTTCTTATTTCCGTATTGGAAAACGCTTTTCTTTAGCTTTCAACGTTTTGTCTATTAAAAAAACAACAACAAAAAAACCAACAAAAAAAAACAACATTTCTTTGCAATGCAAAAAGCTAAAGAGCCCAGAAACAGTACACAACAATGAGGACCTCGTAGCATTTTAGTGATCGATCCGTCAGCCTGCAAAGTTAAATGTTTGGAACTTACTCTGAGGATAATATAATGTTATGTGGTCTGAAGTAATGTGTATTTTTTCATATAATATACCACAATTTACAAGAACAAAATCGTAAAGGTACAAGAAAAGAAACCATATTGTTTTGTTTTGTTTTTAAAAAAGGAAAAAAAATATTTGTATTAAATTGTATTGAAATTTTTGGCAGTCAGATTGTATATAGCGCTTGTTTTTTGTTAATTTATTTTTTTTTCTAAAATCTTCCTTTTATATGTGCAAGTAAAATCTTCCTCGCAGTAATATACCACAAAATTTAGCGGTCCGATAAAAACATAGTGCATGTAGAGTGCCCTATCAGGCGGTCAATATTTTACCCCTAAGAGGCCCACATCGACTCTTTTAATATAGGCAATGGAGGAGAATATTTGTGTAATGTATCATTATCATTCCATTTAGATCTTGAAAATTATCTCGAATCAGCTTCATAGGACTAACTAGTACTGACTGGTCTCATATGAGGTTAACCATAGTCGTCTTCTTAGTAGGGCTTAAACCAACAGTTCCAGGGTTGTCAATTTTACATATTGACTCATATGTTTATAGTGTGAAATCTCTTTCATAATTATCAAATTATCTCAAGTTTTACTGAATTTCAGCAAAAAAAATATGTAAATTGAAACACCGTTTCAATTGCTAAATGGTGTCTTTTTGTACTGTATTTAATGAAGATATTTTTTTGTATTTCATCGGTGCAGTCCATTATTGTCTTTTTAATCAACATCCCATTTCAAACGTTTTTATATCAATATGTGCTTTATATTATTCTTTTCACAAAACATGGAATTGGAACCCGTCGACCCCTTTTCATAAAGTTTTAAAAGAATAGCGAAAAGATACGTTATGTACATAAACCCAACACGATATTTAGTCTTGGCCTTTTTCTAAATGAAATATAACAATAATTAATACTATATGTCGCCACAGCAATGTTTATTAAATAAAGTTGCCAAGAGTGGTGTATAAAAATTATTCGGCTTGCCTTGCCACTTTCATTGTACCAGTCGCTTTAACGGTGGACCATTAGTTATTTCCTTCTCCTCGAAGCAAACACTTGTTCCCAGCCATGGATGTAGATCTTGTCAACAGAGATCCCAACGGGCTTAACACCCATTTGAAGGTAAATATATTATTATAGAAAATTGTTATTTTTTATTAAATTTTGATATATGTATTTGTAAAACAGTGATATTTCTGGCCCAATGACGTTCGTTGTTGACTTGTAAAGGTCATTGACTACAGTCACTGGCTTTTTTTATCGCTACTACGGGACTTTCTGTCATATGTGGATGATATACAGTTAGTTAAGGAGAATCATATGTGGATGATACTAGTATACAGTTACTTAGTTCACGAGGAGTTGGTTGGTTCAATGGGAACCAACTCTGTCACCAAGTACAGGTGGAATGTTACAATGTGAGCTTTACAGTGTCCCTGTAACTTCTTTAAAACTGCTACATGTACACACATATATACCTGTATATGTTTTTCCATGATCGTACTGGTTGGGGACCACCAAAACCGGACAACCACCAAACCCAGACGGCCCCGAAAATGCTTAATTTAGTAAAAAAAATCGTTCGGTGGTAGTCAGTCACTTTTTTTTTCTGAACAGCAAATGCATGTTTCTTCTAAAATTAAGCAAATAAATTTATTTCACCCTCCGTAAATGGTAATATTTTAATGTCTGTTTCAAGAATGTTGACGTTGGCATTTGGGGATCCTCATATACCAGCTATAATCATTTGCAGAGTAAACAATAGAATATCCAAAACTTCAGCATTTGTTGCTGAAATATTGTATATCATTTTAAAAATCAAAATTCAAATCCCCCAATCTTTTATCTGAATTAAATCACGTCATGTACATATCTATCCGGACACATGGTACTGTAGTATAGACAATTTAGGTAATTTTGAAACCCTCCTTGTCAAGCCTCAGATATAAGTGTCTTAACAAAATAGTTTGTTAGTTAGAAGAACCTAGCTGAACTGTGTCAAATTTGCGCTGGGCTCTAGGTTAAAAATTATGAAATCTGTACGGAAAATGTTCAGAAAGCGTCGGGTTGATGGTCCCCGACCAGTATCTGATAAGTCTTAAAACATTTTAAAATCTCAGTTGGAAAAAAGAAGACCGCGCAAGAGTTTTTTTTTCTTTTTCAGTCCTTTTTCGATTTTTAAGCAGTTTCTTATTTGACAATGACCATGATAGTTGTCATGGTTTTTAGTAAGCGGTTAACAATACAATATACTTTTTAATAGCAATTTTCTGCGAAAGCAAACATTTTTATTTAAAAAAAGATAACTTATGGTATTTATGGTTTTTCCGATTTTTTACTTCAGGTCCAATTCGAAGATGTCTTGGCGGAACCCGAGGGAGCCCGTAGTATCGACTGCGTCTGGAAGCTGTCTTACACCTGCTTCAATCTTTGGCTCGGACTTTGCTACAAACTTCTGACCCTCTGCTACGGAATCTGTATTGCCGCCGAGTGGGGTTGCGAATTCGCTTCGATTGCTTTCTACCACGTCTGGTACATCACACCAATCTTGAGAATGTGCGAGATCAACTGTGCTGTGTTCACCAAGGTTACCAAGACCTGCATGGGTTGTTGCATGGAGCCATGTTGCGAAGCTTGCGGTGCTCTCTTTGTCCATTTCAAGAAATAGACAGCTAAAATTAAATAAACTTCATTGTTTTCGCAAACTTTTCTTTTTGTGTTAAAATAATATTTCGAACTGATAAACTTAAAAAAGGACGAAAAAGAAAAGAGAGCGATGATGTAATTAATGGATAAACTTTTAGTAAAATATATAATGGACTTAATTTTACAAGAAAATATAAAAGATATTTCTTAGATAAACTGAAGACGCAAGCAGCTGTTTAGTGCGCATGCGTCGACAATGACGTTTTGTCTAAGTAATTTCATAACTAAACCCCGTTACAAGCGACTGTGATATTTTTTCTCGATATTCATTTATATATTTATTGATGCATGTAATTTCATGTTATTAACTTGTTATATATGTGAATATTTTTCATATAAAAATATTAAAATTGATGAAAAAAACCTTAAAAACATTTTCGTTGTCATTTTATTAGTAAGAATCACAGGTTCTAGTCGCATTTATATTTGACCTAAACTATTCATATGTTTAAAGACCCATTATGCCTCAGAAATTTTACTGTATTTTTATGTTTTAAAAATTTTGTTACAGCTTCCAAAAAAGCAACTTATTTTGCAAGATAAGTAACTATCTTTTGTTTATTTTGGTATATCTGTATTGAATAAGTATTTAGTGTATGGAGATAGAAATACTAATTTCTTTACATTTTGCTACCTTTACAACACATACATTTAACTGCATTTTCAGCGCTAATTTTACAGGTTATTAAACATTTAACATGCCCTGTAAGCATTATTTAAACATAACTTAAACACATGTTAATTAACCAATACACATGTATGTATTTCTGAAGCATAATGTGCCTTTCATCTTCTTAATTCATGCAAAATATCAAAAATAATTATGATAAAAATCGATTTTTAAATATATATTGATATTATATTGCATGATTAAACATATAATGTCCAGTCACTGCAACCAGAATCTTTGGCAAGATTTATCAGTTACTAGTTAAAGTGAATTGGTAAATAATAGAAGGTCTACCATGCTACAAATGAGCCGTGTCACGATAAAACCAACATAATGGGTTTGCGACCAGCATGGATCCAGACCAGCCTGCGCATCCACGCAGTCTGATCAGGATCCATGCTATTCGTTTTCAGTTTCTCTACTTGTGTTTGTAAGCGAACAGCATGGATCCTGATCAGACTGCGCGGATACGCAGGCTGGTCTGGATCCATGCTGGTCGCAAACCCATTATGTTGGTTTTGTCGTGACACGGCTCAAATAATGATTGATATTGATTGTATTTTGTACATACATGTCTATGAATAAATCCATGTCAACCAGGGAACGAGTAAATGGTCTGTATACAGGCTGGTTCCAAACAAACTCTGGTCTTCGTCAAGGCTGATTATTATCACCTATTCTTTTTAACATTTTCATCAATGATTTAGTTCTAAAAATGAGAAACACCGGTAAAGGTGAATTAATGATAATGAATTAGTTTGTATTTTATTATATGGTGACGATATTGTGCTCATTGCTGTAAAAGAAGCAGGCTTTCAATATATGTTAAATGTTTTAGTAGATTGGTGTTCTCCCAAATACAATGATTGTTAACCCAGAAAAAGTAATATTGTGCATTTTCGTCCACCATCGGTTAACAGAACTTTAAATGCGGAGACCACTTTCCAAAGGTGGTTGTCTCTGTACATAACTTGGTTTATTGTTAAATGATTTTTTTACTTTGATTTGAATGCTAAATTTGTTGCTCAAAGTGCAAGCAGAACATTAGGACTGCTAATTGCTAAAGCAAAAAAAATAAATGGATGGTATGCCTTATAATGTTTTCAGTAAATTATATGATAGCACTGTGTTGCCTGTGATTTCATATGCTGCATCACATTAGGGTATAAAATCTTACACCTTTATAAATGCTAATTATGTTCTTCTTTGGAGTTGGAAAATTCACTCCCACAGCAGCTTTGTAAGGTGAAACTGCATGGGGTCCTCGCATGTAAAGCAATGGCGGTCTGATTCCAAACAGTGGCATAAATTCTGCACCATGGACACAAATCGGCCGAACTCGAATATTTTTATGGCATGTAGTAATAAGAGTAATTCTAGATTTAAAAACTGGCAATTCATGTATAACACTCACATGTCTGGTTTAGATCTTAGTGAATGTTAATAAATTGCAGAAATATGTCATCTAAAATGTTTTGTAACACTGTAGAAGATAAAACTATGAACACTATTATATAATTAGTTGGAATAAAAGTATTAATAACGTGACTGGTCCAAGTAGAAATGGTCGTAATAAACTTAGATCATATAGAGGTTTCAAACAAGATTATGAAACAGAAATGTATGTCTCTACAAATTATATTCCTGCTAAACACAGATCCGCTCTGGCTAAATTCAGATGCGGTGCTGCGCCTATACGTTTAGCAACGACGGGGCAATATGATAATATGCCTGTTAATGCTATACTATGTCCTTTTTGCAAAAATGCAGATGAAATGGGGAAAAAAAAACATGTCTTACTAGAATGTTCTACATATCAAACCATAAGAAGTAGTTTGTTAAAATTAATCATGAGTTTCACAATTGGAATGATGATCAAAAATTTGAATTTCTTCTATCTAACTAACGAGAAGTAATACAATAAGTACTAAAATGAATTTGTATTTCTTTAATATCAATACAAAGCAAAAATCGGTTTATCTTTTGTTGTTAACAATTGGCGCAGTGAAAATAAGAATTAAGTTGTATTAAACATAAAAAGCTTTTGCTAAACATTTTGAAGACACTGTATATCTTGGTATAAACATTGGTGAATGTCATAAACAACCCGAGTAATCGCCTTAAAAAGAAGTTCAGTTTCGTTGCTGGCCACAGTATTACCCTGGACTTTGTTTATTTCGCTTCTCGTTTCAAGACAACAAGGCAACCACCATGGAAGTAGATCTTGTCAACAGAGATCCCAATGGTCTTAACGAACATTTAAAGGTATCATTTTTTTGTATTCTGTTATTCTATGCTACTTTTTTTTTTGACGTAAGCCCGATTTATTTATTAATTTTAATTTTTATTTATTCATTTATCTATTTGAAATCGGAATTAGTTTTTAATCTTTCTAACATAAAACTTTACAATTTTATTTATAGACTAAGATTTCAAAAGGAAGAAAATATCAAAAAAGGCAATTATCAATAGAATAACATTTTTGAACCTTTGTTAAATAGTCTGGTCATATATTGGACTCGAATGACTTTCCCTTACACATAACAACACAGTTGACTTAGTTATTACTCGTAACTTTTAGATTGAGAAATTATGACAGGAAGGCGATTCATATCTATGTATTTTAACATAACGGCTATTAAAAATTCCAGGTTCAATTTGAAGATGTCTTGGCTGAACCCGAAGGAGCCCGTAGTATCGACTGCGTCTGGAAGCTTTCTTACACATGTTTTAACTGCTGGCTTGGACTTTGCTACAAACTTTTGACCCTCTTCTACGGAGTCTGTATTGCCGCCGAGTGGGGTTGCGAATTTGCCTCCATTGCTTTTTACCACGTCTGGTACATCACACCAATCTTGAGAATTTGCGAGATCAACTGTGCTGTGTTCACCAAGGTTACCAAGACCTGCATGAGCTGTTGCTTGGAGCCATGTTGTGAAGCGTGCGGTGCTCTATTTATTCACTTCAAGAAATAAATATCAATTTCAAATAATTACTGGTGATGTAGCATTAGGACGTCATCACAATATCATCGACGTCAATAGTAAACCAGTTGTATTCCATAATAATTAGCGAACCGAAGAATAAAAAAAAGTGAATTCATACAAATGCAGCCATTTGTGATTTGATTTGTGCATCCATCAGAGCTCATTGAGAATAAAAAAAACAACAATTAAAACATGTTACATTGAGTGGATATATTAAAAGTGTACACAAATGACGTGTAACAAGGGAATTTTCCGGTCATATTGATATATCATAACTATTACCATAAAATCTATTTTTTAAATGTTTACACAATTGTTAATACAATTATTAAATCCAGTATAAAAAGATAAAGTTTTTTTTATTAGCCTCCATATCTAAATTCTTACTGATACACTTCCTGTAAGGCAGCTCTAAAATTATGTTTCCTAAAAGATTAACCCTTTACCCCATATATACGCGAAACAACGCACTTTCGACCCCCCCCCCCTTTTTTTGACCCCAAAGAGTGAAAAAATGTCCTATTCGGGCCCCAAACACATGTTTTCGTTTGAAAAATGTTGCTAAAAAAATTGAGCACTTTTTCGGCGCCGCCCCCATCCAAAAGATACATCAGGGGGTTGCCAGAAGGGGGATGTGCCCCCTTCTGTTAGGGGGGGGGGTTTGAAGGGGAGCGGAGTCCCCCTCATCGCCAAGAAAATTTTGGACTTGTGAGAGGCTAAAAATGACCCCAGGTCGATCATAATGTAACGTGTAACCAACGCTGAAAAGCCTTTGACTCTATCTCAATCCCTTGAGAAGTTGCAGCACTTTGAAATAAATTTTGATGGAAAAAATCGAGGCAAAATAGTGATTTTGGGCAATTTTGAGATGCCCCCTCGTTGCCATGGTAACATGAAATTTAAGACTGAGCATGTCGTTACAAAGGCAATGGTCCAGTCAACATTTGTGCCAAGTTTGATTAGTATTGAAGCATTTTTCATAGTTTCATAGCAGTTTGAACTTGTAACAGGAGGCTTTTCAGTGAAAACGGCAATTTTCCACAATATGCTCATGGGGGAAAGGGTTAATTAAACTGCGAACACAAACAAAAAACTGGAAAAGGGGTGATCCTTCATCAGCCATCCAGACAACACGTTTACGTCAACATTGCAAACTCGGTTTATTTGAATTTTATCATGAGAGATCATGTAAAAGTGTAATATCCCTCACGCCCCCCCTGCACCGGCTTAAGCGATATTCAATCTTGAAACACTTAATATGCTGGAACTAATGATCCCAATGACCCAGACAAATATAACAACATTGAAGGTCATTTTGAGTTCTTAAGAAAAAACAGTTGACATCGAGTGCTTAAGAAGCGTTGATAAGGATTGTAAAACTAAAGCATTCTTATAAATATCAGGAAAAGTATAACTTCAAAGAGCTATTAAGTTCAATTTTTAAAGTGTGTATAGGTAAGTGATCATTGGAAAAAACAGTAGCCTTTGTTTTACAATTATAGGTCCATTTGGTCAGAAAATGCTATTATTTGTATTCCTCAGTAACTTTCCATAAAAGTACTCATTAGCAATATATGCCCTTTTAAGCAATTAGTTAAGTATTGAGTTTTTCAACTTTTTTGTTTTCTGGCAATTAGTGAAGTAAAGTATGTATTGTATTTGTTATGGAAGTAAAATACCATTTTGTTAAGCTTTGCTTCCTTTATGACAATTCATATTCACACCTGGGCTGACAACTTGCTTATTATCATTTCTGTCCCATTATTCCATTTGTACAACAAAAAGAACCTCAAATGATGGTTGCCCATCATGTTTATGACGTGCAAATTATTAAGTGCACCATCAATTAATTTTTATGTTTTTTTTTAAGTAAATGTTAACTTGGTTTTAAAACAATTTTTTTTGTTTTTTTGATAAATACATGTTGCGATATTTAATAATTTAAGAATATCTTAAGATAATGGGTTTTGATTTCTACCATCATAATAATAAGTATATGAATAATGTATTGTTTACTTTTATATCAATGAATTTACTTATTTTAGGCTGATATTTACTTGACATAATGGATAAAAACTTGTCAACAACTCCCAGTATTAAATTACTATATGTTTACATGTTTTGTTTCTTAGCGTAGGTTAGACCAAAATACTACGGAATGCCGTTAGGGCCATCGCCTATGAATGTGTTGATCTAAAACGCGATAGTCGATAGTACGATGGTGAAAACGCGAAATCACGAAACTACGATGGTGAAAACGCGAAAGCACGATGATGAAAACGCGATAGTACGATGATGAAATCGCGACAGTACGATACTACGATGATGAAAACGCGATAAACTATCGTGTTTTCACCATCGTACTGTCGCGTTTTCACTATCGTAGTTTCGTGATTTCGCGTTTTCATCATCGTACTGTCGAGTATCGCGTTTCAGATCAAACCATTCATAGGCGATGGCCCTAACGGCATTCCGGAATGCCGTTAGGGCCATCGCCTATGAATGTGTTAATCTGAAACGCGATAGTCGATAGTACGATGGTGAAAACACGAAATCACGAAACTACGATGGTGAAAACGCGATAGTACGATGATGAAAACGCGATAGTACGATGATGAAATCACGACAGTACGATGGTGAAAATGCGATAGTACGATGATGAAAACACGACAGTACGATGATGAAAACGCGAAAGTACGATGGTGAAAACGCGATAGTACGATGGTGAAAACGCGATAGTACGATGATGAAAACACGACAGTACGATGATGAAAACGCGAAATCACGAAACTACGATGGTGAAAACGCGACAGTACGATGGTGAAAACACGACAGTTTATCGCGCTTTCATCATCGTAGTATCGTACTGTCGCGCTTTCATCATCGTACTTTCGCGTTTTCATAATCGTGCTTTCGCATTTTCACCATCGTAGTTTCGTGATTTCGCGTTTTCACCTTCGTACTATCGACTATCGCGTTTCAGATCAACACATTCATAGGCAATGGCCCTAACGGCATTCCGTAAAATACCGCGTCCGTTCTGTGTATTCATACTACTGTATTGTGTTCGGGGTCCTTACCTGAAGACTGACGGAAATGGCCGAAAAGTTGAAATTGCCACAGCCGTTCATGCACATCATAATCAAACCAGAAATGCGATCTTAAAGGTCATTTCGACTATTTCATTGTCTCATTAATGTTTTTTATATGCCATATGTGTGTGATAACTTTGATCCACTCACAAATTTAAATACATGTATTGTTTCTTTCCTAACTTTATTTTTTCTCGTTAATGCATGATACCTCGTGTACTTACCTGCTATCTGTCGACAGCCACATTGGAAAAAAGCATGAAACACAGTCAAATTTGATTTGTTGCGCAACCTTTCAAATTTTTAAGTTGGCTATTTCATGAACATGTGTTTCATTCGCTGATATTTAAATATTGTAAAGATTCAAAATCATCAAAATGCAGTCCACCACAAAGTATATCAAATTATGGGCGTTATGTCATAAAATTGTAAATTTATGAATCCTTAAAAATGCCCAAATCGGCAAATATTGAAAATTTGCAAACTCGGTTTGCTTGAGCCTTTCATTGATGGTACTGGAAAGTGCAAGCTGCCTTCCATGGCCTCTAGCTAAGGCTTATGCAGAATTAAACATTTTAATTGAATGGAAAAATTAAGAATTAAGAAACATTCGCTATTATTTAAATGTACTGTGAAATAATAGAATCAACTATTTTTTTAGCTGTATCGTAAAAATAGGTTCCGCTATTATTTATATTTATGGTTAAAATAATGAAATTATAGGTTCCTCTTTTAACTCGCTGTATTGTGAAACATTATCAACAGAAACGTGTTTTTTCACTTGCAGTCATTTTGCTTATATTTGGATAAATCCCATAGCTTCGATGTAATACCAATACACATCGAAAAGCGGTTTATTTCCTCTGGGTAACAAAGGGTGCAGTGAAAACAAGAGTTAAGTCGTATTAAATACAAAAGACTTATGTTTAATATTTTGGAGACAAGTCGACTAATCGCTTTAAAAAGAAGTTCATTTCGATTGCTGGCCACAGTGTTACTCTGGACTTTGTTTATTTCGCTTCTCGTTTCAAGACAGCAAGACAACCATGGACGTAGACCTTGTCAACAGAGATCCCAATGGTCTTAACGAACATTTAAAGGTATCATTTTTTATATTTTGTTTTAATTTTCTTATATATTCAAACGATTTTTGTTGTTTTTTGTTTTAACATAAACCAAATTCGTTCAATTTCTTTCGCGAAATCGAAATGATTCTCAATAGTTGAACCTAAAACTAAACAGTTTTATCAAGAAATTCTACTACCAAAAAGATATTATAAAGTTATATGATATACATTGTAATTAAAATTTATTAAAACAGAATTCAAAACAATAACAGCATATGTATAAACGATATTATATGAATTAACTTTACATTTTTAAGCATGTGTTATTATTACTATTATTATTATTATTATTACTATTATTATTATTATTATTATTATTATTATTATTATTATTATTATTATTATTATTATTATTATTATTATTATTAAAGTATATCTCTATATTTGATTCCTTAATGTATTTTTTAACCTTGATTATCTTACAATTTTTTGTTAAGAAAAAATAAAAATTTGATAAAAGATGCAAACAAAATCGATGTTGTGTTAAAATCATGAACTACAGTAATATTAAAATGAGCTGCGTCACGACAAAACCAACATAATTGGTTTGCGACCAGCATGGATCCAGACCAGCATGTGCAACCGCGCAGTCTGATCAGGATCCATGAAGTTCGCTTAAAAATAGAGAAACTTATAGCGAACAGCATGGATCCTGATCAGACTGCGCGAATGTTGGTTTTGTCACGACACGGCTCAAATTATTTTGTAAAAAAGTAAGTTACCTTCAGCAGACGGATATTGATTTCATGCTTTTATTTTGTTTCCACGTGAGCACTTTGGAACAAACCTTTGTGATAAAAATAACATTTCAATAATTATTTGTCTCAAAAGGCATTTCTTCACAAACGTTCTTGATAAATTATCTTGTTTGGAAATATGAAATATAAGACTTTCCATAACACATGCTATTAAACTTTTTGATTGAGAAATTGCGACAACAAAGACGTTCCATAATTAAGCATATCTTAAATAATTATCATTGTTATCATAAATTCCAGGTCCAATTCGAAGATGTCTTGGCTGAACCCGAGGGAGCTCACAGTATCGACTGCGTCTGGAAGCTGTCTGCCACCTGTTTCAATCTTTGGCTCGGACTTTGCTACAAACTTTTGACCCTCTTCTACGGAATCTGTATCGCCGCCGAGTGGGGTTGCGAATTCGCCTCCATCGCTTTCTACCACGTCTGGTACATCACACCAATCTTGAGAATGTGCGAGATCAACTGTGCTGTGTTTACCAAGGTTACCAAGACCTGCATGGGTTGCTGCATGGAGCCATGTTGCGAAGCTTGCGGTGCTCTCTTTCACCATTTCAAGAAATAAACGGACTTAAGAAATAAGCTGTTGGTGCTGCATTATGGGCCAATCGTAAACCAGTAGCATGGTATTAAAATCAGCAAAGGAAGAAACTTGCTGAATATATACACGTACTTATCTACAGCAAACATTGACCATTATTAATCTTTGCTCGTAGTAAATATCAAAATTTGTTGAGTGGATATGAAATTCAGTGATAAAGATTATATTCACAAATGACGTGTAGCAAGGGAGTTTTCATATATTTCTGGTCATATTTATATCTTTCGTCATTTTTTATCATAAATATTACCATGAAACCTGTAATAAGGTGTCTATATAATTGTTTATTAAATTATAAAAAAAATCAGCATAAAATGCTTTATATTAATCTCTATATCCTAATTCCTACCAATCAGCAATCATCAACAGCAAAATAGCTTTCTGAAAGTCGGGGGTTCTGTTTAAAAAAAACTTAGATCTTAGTTAATTTTTATAAGATTCATGTAAATGCAACACATCTTTTGTTATAAAGATGTGTTTTCAAGAAGGTATGTGTTTGACCTCGAGTGTATTGTACGATTTAAGGAAGAACTTCGTTGATAAAATTCTTATTTCCTTAGTCATTTTCTTTTTTCCCCAGTATCGATAATATATACGTACATGTATTTTATTTTCCGATTATAAAACGAAGAGATGAATTAAATGCGACTTTAACGTTCATTAGAGTAACATGGTTAATTGAATCTATAAAAAAAACAAATTTCAGCTTACCTATTGGCAAAATTTACATGTAGTATATTATTGTATATTTTGGTCACTAAACACCGTTCAAAATTTTTTTAAAATGTTGTTTGAAATACGAAATATAAACCTTTACCAAATCGACCAGTGCCAAGGAATCCATGATCATTTCAGGGAAAATTCTTTGGTCTTGTAAGGCCCTGCTAACTGACATGATTCTATTTTGTGTAAGTTGCCTTTTTGTTTTAGTTTAAATTGCCGTTCATATCAACAGGCTATTAGTTAATTCCTTAGAACAGTGACATAACTGCAGAAAAAAAACCCATCGCTTTGCTATTAAGGCATTTTAACTCACCACCAAAGCCAGAACGCAACTAGTTTTCGAAAAGGTAAAACTTTGTACATGTAAAACGAAACCAGTTTACCATCACCATAGTAACCGTTATTGTCAGGCTAATTACAAGAGCATCACTGAAACAAAGAAAAGAAATTAACAGTACGTTCACATCTCTCATTTGCAAAATAGTTAAAGGCCCATTAAGCCTCGAAACAAATACATGTAGTTTAATTTTGAAACTATATATATTTTTGTGTCCTCTACCAGTTCCAAAAAATTAATATGAAGACATTCCATCAATTTGAGAAAATTTAAAAATAGTAAACTTTGGTTTTTGTTAACATGCTAAATATTGCCGAAAACTTGCGATTGAATTTTTCTTTTCAGAGTTAATCACTGGTGTATTAACACTCAAATATGTTGTTACTGCAGCTCTAATGCGCCGCTGGTTTATAGTGCTTTCAGTGCTTTGATTTTCCTAGTCAAAATCATTTTAAATGTATGACTCCGATTGGTTTAAGGATAGAGTGATTGGTTTTGTGTTTAAATGTTCATTATGGATAAGGCACGTCGTTAGAATGTTATAGACATTTGTGCCGCGTCACAACAAAACCAACATAGTGGTTTGCGACCAGCATGGATCCAGACCAGCCTGCGCATCCACGCAGTCTGATCAGGACCCATGCTGTTCGCTATCAGTTTCTTTACTTGTAATAGAGTTGGTAAGCGAACAGCATGGATCCTGATCAGACTGAGCGGATGCTGGTCGCAAACACGCTATGTTGGTTTTTGTCGTGACGCGGCTCATTTTTGATCCTTTTACCACGCCAAATTGCTTAAATAGATTCGTCCAAGTTATAATTTGGATAAAACCATTGACAATTTTTAGGGAATTTTTTAAAAAATATGTTTGACTGTATAGTGCAGATCATGATCCGCCGGTATAGATAGCTAGAAAAATTGAATTGAATATGGTAAAAATGTTCATCTTAAATTAACATTTAATCTGTTTCAGGAAGTAATAAGCCTTTGTTAATTGGTCGCGTTGGCAGAATCGTTGATGATATTAAGACGTACAAATGAATTAGATATTAACCAACATTTATATTATGAGGACAGTTTTTTTTCTTTTGATTGAAATAGGGAATATATTTTCATGTTCCGGCCCGTGAAAATATATTGAATTTTTTCACGTTGAGTGAAAATATATTCAATATTTCACTCAGAAAAAACAACCTGTGCAGTCATTAAATGTCAATTCGCTAGTCTGCGAAAGTCAATGACGAATGACCCCTCACACTGCACGAGCTAAATGCGTAGTAATTCTCTAAAAATATGTCTATTGGAACTATTTTATAAATGTCTTTGCTGCTAACACGGACAATCTTAGGTTTCTGCAGTTTGCACGATATGAAAAATATGGTTTAAAAACCTATACTCATTTCCAGCAACAATTTAATAAAAAATTGTGTAAAAAAATCTTGCCTGGTACGAAACTACAATTAAACAGCGCGCAGTAATATATAAATTAGTTATTTCACACATTATGAAATATAACCAATGAACTGTCAGCTTCCAGAAAAATAATTATAGGAGCCAATCGTAACATTTTATTATCAATTTAGCTTCGTTTCCAAAACACCTAATCGAATGCATGTCACACCCAATATAGCCTCGATGTAATTTTCAAAGTCCAAAATATCAATATCAAATGCATATCGCACCAAATATAGCTGAGAGAACAAAACAAGAATTATTATTGTTAAAATGCGCGATAACGAATATCATTACTGAAACCACTGACTGTCAAATTATACATTTGAGAAAGAAATAATTAAAAATATATATATATATGAATTTTGACTCCACACTTTTCATATTTGTATTTCATTTTTCCCAGCAGATGTGAAGTATATATGACTAATATAGCACCATACTTCATGAGTAAAAATAAATAAAACTAGAAAACTTTACGTCTTAGTTACGTTTTACGCTTTAGGAATGAAACCAAGGGATGATGTTTCCGCTTTGATTTGTAACTCCTACTTGTATAAAATGACAACGAAATTGTTTTTAGATATTTTTCAATTTTAATAACTTAAGATGATGAATAATATTCACAAATACATGTACATGTATCTAATAACACGAAATAACATGCATCAATAAATATATCAATGGAAATCGAGATAAAATATCACAGTCGCTTGTAGCGGTGTTAAGGTATGAAATTACCTAGACAAAACGTCATTGTCGACGCATGCGCACTAAAAACAGCTTGCGTCTTCAGTTTATCTAAGGAATATTTCTTTTTTTTGTAAAATTAAGTCCTTTTCATTTTTGATAAATATTGCTCCAAAGTTTATCTATTAATTACAAAACGCTCTCTTTTCTTTTCATCTTTTTTACCAGTTCGAAATGTTATTTTAATACAAAAAGAAAAGTTTGCGAAAACAATGAAGTTTATTTAATTTTAGCTGTCTATTTCTTGAAATGGACAAAGAGAGCACCGCAAGCTTCACAACATGGCTCCATGCAGCAGCTCATGCAGGTCTTGGTAACCTTGGTGAACACAGCACAGTTGATCTCGCACATTCTCAAGATTGGTGTGATGTACCAGACGTGGTAGAAAGCAATGGAAGCGAATTCGCAACCCCACTCGGCGGCAATACAGATTCCGTAGAAGAGGGTCAAAAGTTTGTAGCAAAGTCCGAGCCAGCAGTTAAAACATGTGTAAGAAAGCTTCCAGACGCAGTCGATACTACGGGCTCCTTCGGGTTCAGCCAAGACATCTTCGAATTGAACCTAAGAAAAGAAAATAAATCCAAAAAATATAACAAATAAAGAGAAAAAACAACAACAATTTTTGAAGACAAAAAAGGAAGAAAAAAAGAAGAAGGAAAACGCGAATTTTGACGATGTCAGTTTTAAGTGTTCGACAATACATATGTATATCATTTTATTTTAACAATACAAATGTACTTTTTTATACAAGTGCAACAACTGATATGATTTCAACGTGTTAATGTAATCAAGTGTCTACATGATTAACAAGGAATATCTAACCTTTATTTTAAAGATTCTCTGAAGAAATAGGATAAATTTCCGTAAATAATGCCTAGTAGTCTGTTACAATTCTATTTTAGAATGTCTATGAGCAATGTATATGTATTGAATTAGAAAACAGTTTTACAGAACTTCAAACACGTTACTAAGTATATTATGAATTCATATATTTTACATTGTATTTGTGTGCTCATTGAAAAAAAAATCCATGCCATCTGCCTGTAGATATGTTGTATTAGATTTGCTATAAACAGAATAATAAATTATATTGTATGTTTAACGCAATAAAATTATTTGAGTTGGGTTGAGTATAAATTTTATGTATTGATTTTATGTATTGTACAATGATGAGACTTAAATAAAAGGTAATTATTTTTCTCTTACCTTAAGGTGTTCATTAAGACCATTAGGATCTCTGTTCACAAGATCTACTTCCATAATTATTTTTTGCTGAACCCGAAGTGTCCTTTCCAACTACCAAAATTACTATGCCGGCAGTGGGCTAGACTTAATTTTTATAAGGCGATTTATTTCGGAGATTAAGAATTAAACAATATTTAATACATAAATAGTTACACAAGGATTTGTATAAGAATATTGGAAGCTAGCGTAACATGGTCAGTTGCTATGTTGTCAACATAACAAAAACCTAAGCGGTACAAAGTACGTATTACTGCGGTTAACGATAATTAAATAGGCGATGTTTTATGAAAGAAAAAGACAACCCTCACACAAAAAAAGAAACAACAACAAAAAAGAAACAACAACAAATTAAGTACATATGATACTTCCGATAACTTCATGACTTTGCTGTACACCCTCCCTCCCCTGGGCCACGCACGCAGCAACGAACGCGCGCGCGCGCACACACACACACACACACACACACACACAGAGTCTCTGGATAGTTCTGCAAGTATTACAATTTACAAGTATATATAATACTTGCAGAAATATCCAGAGACTCTGTGTGTGCGCGTGTGTGTGTGTGTGTGTTTGCGTGCGCGTTGGTGCATGCGTGCGTGTGCGTGTGTCACGAGGAGGGAGGATGTACAGCAAAGTCATGAAGTTATCGGGAGAAATATCTATATAAATAACACTTCGAGGTATGTGTTGTTTTGTTGCACACTGTTGAAGTCTTAAGATAAAAAACTATGATTCGAAATAACTTGTCAAAATTGCCGGCTGTTTAAGTTTTATCTATTTTTTCTTGCAGTCCATCACATTACCTTTTCTAATACAAGTAGAATTAGTCAAATATAGAAATGACATGCATACTTTGGCAAAAATGCCCCCAGGTTAAACCTAAAGTGTGAAATATATCTTCAATATCTATGCGCATAAAACGTATTTGAAACGTTCATGTTTTGCGAAAAAAGAATAATTGTCTCATATATATAGAATGAAAAGTAGAAAAAAAAACTTTAAACTCAAAATTTTCCAAGAAATTAAATATGCTCTTACTAAAATTTCATAGCGAACTAAAAAGGGACGTAACCTGATACCCGCTTGGTTTGCGTTACTCTTGTCATATATAAACCAATTCAAGATGTATCTGAGAAATTAGCCTTCTTATCAATTTACGATAAGAATAAGGCATATTTTTTAAGTCTGCCCTTTAAAAGGGGCGGACAACTCTTTGTCCCTTTCTCGTATGAGAAAGGGAATCCTGTGATGCGTGTATGTGGTCGCACGGTCACTTCCCTTACATCTCCTCGATGCATGTATGTGGTCGCATGGTCCAAAATTTATAATAAAATGACAATGTTATCTAAGGTGTTTTGGTATAGACTCATCTGGTACAAAACTTAATGTTATTAAAAAAATTTTGAAATCGTAATAAAGTATTAAAGCCTAATTAGGATCTTTTTAAGGACTTTTAATAGCCTAGTAGGGACTTTTTCACTTGGTCGAAAATTTCTAAAGAAAAAAGACAACGTTTCCAAAAGGCTATTTGTACGGAACGTCTTGTGCAAAATGTTAATGTTCTAAAAACATAATTACAATTTGTTCATACAAGGTACAACCAATTTTCAATTTTTTGGGAAAATAAACCTTTTAGTAATTTGTACTTTCTAATTAGATTTTTATACTAAGAACAAATAAGTTAGTCATTTTTTCCGAATAAGTTTTTAAACTTCTATTGCGGACATGTACAGTCTTAATAAGGCTCCTTATTACAAGTGGAAAAGTCATTTTCTCCTTAAAAGAAGTAACAAAGTGGTAATGATGTTTTTAAAACTTCTTACAGTGTTTTAGGATCTTAATGATTTTTCAACAGACGGTTTCGTGCCAAAACACCTTTAAAAGCATTGTCGTTTTATTATTAATTTATTTATTTATTTTTAGAGATTTGCGACATGCATCGATGACATGTAAGGAAAGTAACAGTGCGGCCACACGCATCAACAGGATTCCCCTCCTTTTACGAGAAAGGGACAAATTGTTGTCCGTCAATGTATGCCAATACCTTATTGTTACTGATAACGAGGCTTTGTAAGGCCACATGTGTCACAAATCACATTCGTCACAATTGTGAAGAATGAGATCACATTCGTCACAAATTTTGTGATGCATGTGATCCAATGTTTTAGACAATCACATTCGTCACGAGTTTAAAATCACAAATGTCACAAATTTGAGATAAATATTGTTTTCTTCAATGCTTTTCACTGAGTCACAAACGTCACAAATTTTTAGGACTGAAATCAATTATTGGAACTAAAACTACAGACATTTTTATCCCCTCCCCCGCTGATGAAATCGGGAGTGATGGGACTGTTTTAGCGTGTTCGTCCGCCTGTCAGTCCAGATTTAGTTTCCGCACTATCCGGCCATTGATTAGTTATTATACACTGTATATGGAATCATTTCGTTTCCACGCTATTTTTCAGCAACTTCTGGATGGATATCGATGCTGCAACTTTGTAGGAACCTTCATTCACAAACCAGTTGCACATATAACCAGCATATCTACATTTCTTTTTAAAAACAGACTTATTGCCCCTTGTTGTTGTTGTTATTTATAAAACACTGTATATAGAACTATTGCTTTTCTGCGCTCTAGGAATTTCAACGAAATTTAGTTTAATATAAAGAGGAGATGCGCATCTCGAAAAATCTCGACGGGACACTAAAGGATTTGGTCCGACTTGAGGGTACGGTCGCTTATATGGGCTTTCCGGCGGCGACTTTAGATAAACACATAAACAAACAAAACAAGATGTGCATATCATCATCATCATCATCATCATCATCAGTATTTCCCGTTTGGCCGTTTAATACAGAGTTATGATCCATAATTTATTATCATTTATTGTTCATAGAAAAGCATTAATTCAACCCTATTCTTCAACAAATCTGCTGAATAATTTAAACAAAACTATGTGGGTACATCTAATACCAAGCGGAGATGTGTATATTGACGGCACTTACCCGAAGTTAAGACCCCTGGTTGCTTAATATTCAGTCAGATAACTTAAGTATTTCATGTCTTCAAATGTTAAATATATCTAATTTTAATTGTGTGGGAACCTTCAATACAAAAAGGGCATGTGCATTATCGCCGTGACCTTGAGTGATATGGGCCCTGATAATTTATGCTTTAACCGACTATTTCCCCGGAGTCTTTATTCGAAATGTATCCTGCAATTGTTTAATTTTCAATCAGTATATGATGCTGTCGGCGGTAAACATTAATTCAGCGAATTTGCTTGCAAGATATTTGAATGACCTCGTGTAATTATAGCTTCGCAAGACCAATCATATTCTACAAGAAATGTTAAGTTTTCTTTAAGTTTATTTATTCAACTTCCTTCATGATTCTCATTTAACCCTTTCCTTTATAGATATTACTGGTAAAATAACTATATGAACCGCGCCATATTGAACCCTAGATGAGCCGTCAGTACTAAAGAACTCTGATATAATATAGGAATAACGCATGTTTCTTTTTTCGTGTTAAAATATCTGTAGAAACCCAAGGGATTAGTTGGTACCCGACCCAACGTATCCCGAGGGTTTCAGCAGTTGTTATGACACGGAACAATCATTCGTTAACGCTATTCTAGCATAAAGCATGCATAAATCTAACACAATCCATACACAATCAAGCAACATCACTGATTTTCCTCGGATTGCACGGGAACGTCAGCGTTGTATGTGACCGTGACGTCATTTCCGTTTTAGTTAAGCAGCGTCCGGGCCACAATGTATTGACGCTGTGCCACGGAAAACGTATATCAAAAAGGTGTTTTAACAGCGCATGAGCGCTAGAATCTCCTTGTTAAAAGACCTTTTTGGTCCTGTTAAAACACCCCGAAATCATGGTTATAACGGCAGTTTTATGCTAGAATATAAAGTAATGAATAACAACATGGATTCCAAGAAGACTAAAAGCAAACTCACATTGCACAATACTAGCCGCAATTATAATACTGCTAATAAAGTTCACGAATTTTCATTGGTTTAGAGGCGGGATATATTTATAGGTTATTACAGAGGTCTGATGTGCCTTTATTCGATTTTGGCCCACTAAAAGAGCCCGAGGGCTAATACCGATCTTGTAGACCCATATCGCATTAAGGCACACCAGACCTGTTCTATAACCTTTTTATTGCATGTGCTCATTTATGTTTTGGTTTTCATTATAGAATTAAAAAAAATCGTTTGAAAACATTGTTCAGCGACAATGTATAATTTATTTTAAAAAGCGAGGGACTTTTGACGTCGTCTAATGACGTTGACGTCATTTCCTCACAAACATTTGTTTTTAATATATTTTGGCGTTATTTAACTGTTTGGAGATTGTTTTTCAAGTGTTTCTTCAATTTTGCTTTTTTATCAAGATATATTTCAGTTAAACGTATTTTTTCTTATAAAATTGTCAATCTTTCCGCGTTTTTTTAGCAACCCGAAGTGGGAAATCGATATCGGCCCAACCGGAAGTCGGACCGATATCGATATTTGGCGCATCACGTCACCTGACCACAGTCATATTACATGGACAAAACTCATATACGTTTAAATTCACATTTTTTTTCTATTTATAGTGTTTGCCGTTGCGTATTTATAGGTTATTACACAGGTCTAGTGTGTCTGAATGCAATATTGGCCAAGAAGAGGTATTGGCCCGAGGGCTTTAGCGGTCTCGTAGGCCAATATAGAGGATATTACATGAGTGTCTTTTCATATTGAATTTATTAAACGAGTTGGATAAAATAATAAAATGCTCGGCAGAGCCTCGCAATTTATTATTTTATCAAACTCGTTTAATAAATTCAATATGAAAAGACACTCATGTAATATCCTATATTTATTTGATGCTAACTAATGAAATACTGTTCTATCAATGAAATATATTCATATTATATCAGTCACAGTGTGGTGATATAGATTTGGGTGATATAAGCCACGCCCACTCTGCGTACGTATTTATAAGTCTGGATTCCCTAAACATGCATTAAAAATAACTGTTTAATTTCATTCTAAATGACATATTTCTCGATTCAAATGTCCGTAATTTTGTAAGAT